CAGAACTGGGCCTTTGTACTGTGCGAAATCAATGGATAATGCGAGAATAAATTTCTGGACAACCCTATTCTAAGAATTCCAGTTGAGTGTGTCAATGTGGCCAGCTCAGGGCAATATGATATCATATACAACAGTAAACATCAGGTCTCTTCTGTTTATATCTTCAAAGCAAAGAAAACACGCTTTCATAACAGTACAGCTAGAAACCGCTCGCCAGAAACACAGGAACTTTGCTGCAAGACAGGCATATGTAACGATGACTTGGCACAGATAAAGTCGTGTCTTATTTATACTCTGTTCTACTGACAACAGGCCAGCGAAAAATCTAACAATCTACAGCAAAACCATCAATTATTATGGGCGTTATAACATAGGTGTGCAGCTGAACGAAACATACACGTCGAACCCCCCCAGACGATTTAAATCCCTGACGAAACATACACGACGAACCACGGCAATGGGTTAGAGGTAAACTGACAGAAGTAGACATGATTTTTTCAAGGTGTTCTTCTGCCATCCCAGTTAATCCTGAAATATACTGCTGGAACCCACATTTGAAGTTGAAAGGGAGGGAAGGATATACAGTATGACCAAACATAGCAGTCGCGCCATAGCTCAAGCGGTTAGTCGCTGGCTTCCCACCGCAGCGGCCCGGGTTCGATCCCGGGCCTGTCAGGTGGGATTTGTGGTGGACAAAGTGGTGCTGGGGCGGGTTTGCTCCAAGTAGTTCAGTTTCCCCTGCCAATCTTCATTCCATCAAATTCTCCATCATCATAATCACCCGGGACAGGCTACAATAGGCCAATCAGTGGCCACCGTGCTGAGTGGACCCAGTTGGACTCCACCCCACCACTAAGCAAAACATGACCAAACATAAGAGGTTCTGTATGGTACAAACAAAAGGTCAATTGCTACAGGACAGAATATTACATTCAGTATCTTGCCTGTTCCTGAATTTTAGGTACACAAGTAAAACTAAAATATTTCCCTTCATAAAAACTTCTACACAACACTGAAAATGTATGTTATTACCACTACATATTTCAACCCATACAACAGGCCAACCTCAGGTGAAAATTCACATATTCACGTTACATAATTTTCTACTGATTTTCCAATGTTACAGACTATGTTTATATGTCTATTTTTAATACCTCTGCAGTTTTTCAACTTTGCTTTATAATATGCCAATATGAAGGTCCAAGAATACCAGGCTGAATTGATATTAAATGGAACAAGTCAGCTGCTGGTCCATACTGATTATGTGAATCTACTGGTAGATAACAGATACCACAAAGAAAAACACAGCAACTTTAACTGACGCTAGTAAGGAGGTTGGACTAGAAGTAAACACAGAGAAAACTAAGTGTACGTTGCCGTTTCATCACCAGAATGCTGGGCAAAATCATGTTGTAAAGAGAACGGATCCTTTGAATATGTGGCACAGTTCAAATGTTTGGGAACTACAGTAATAAATCAAAATTTGATTCAAAAGGAAAGTCAGACTGAATTCGGGTAATTCTTGGTACTATTCAATTCAAAACCTTTCATCTTGTCTGCTATCTAAAAATGTAAAAATCAGAATATACAAAACCATTATTTTGCCTGTGGTTCTGTATGGGTGTGAAACTTGGTCTCTAGCATTTAGGGAGGAACACAGACCAAGGGTGTTTGAGAACAAGGTGCTGAGGAGAATATTTGGACCTAAGAGGGATGAAGTGACAGGAGGCTGGAGAAACTGCAGAATGAGGAGCTTCATAACTTGTACTCTTTGCCAAGTATAATTAGAATGATAAAGTCAAGGAAAATGATATGGGCAGTGCATGTAGCATGAATGGGGATGTAGATGAAAGTACACAGGATCATGCTAGCCATGATGATCCAGTAACTGCCTCACAGAGACCACAAAGTCATCTAGAACAATTAGAAATTTGGCTAAAAAAGTGGCAAATCCACATTAATGAAACCAAATCTATACAGGTCACCTTCACAATGAGAAAAGAGCAGTGCCCAGCCGTACACATAAATAATACTGTAATTCCACAATCATCAACAGTAAAGTATCTTGGACTCCACCTGGATTCCAGGCTTACTTGGAAGCAGCATACAGCCAAAAAAAGAAAACAGTTAGACCTAAAAGTAAAAGACATACTTTGGATCATTGGAAGTAAATCTAGCACATCGCTAGATAGCAAAGTACTTCTTTACAAGACAATCATAAAGCCTATTTGGACCTATAGAATCGAACTATGGGGATGCGCCAGTAAATCGAACATAGCCATAATGCAACGAAGGCAGTCCAAAATACTGTGGATGATCACAAATGCACCTTGGTATGTGACTCATCAGACCCTACATGACGATCACAATGTACCATTCATCAAAGAAGTCATCCAAGAAAAAAGCATAAAACATCATGATAAACTAGGACACCACAGCAATACATTACTGCAGCCCCTACTGGAACAACAACGAAGACGGTTAAAGAAATTATAGCCAGAAGATCTACTTGATGGTTGACGAGGATCTCTCATTGGAGGAGCCCTCTTCACGATACAATAAGCACATGAGGACAGTGTTTAAATTAGCAAATTAGGTTAAACAATGTATTTCATTCTGATTGCTAATAAATATATATAAACAAAATTATTTTAAAATTTTTGGAACTCAAAATGTGCCATTCTTTTCCATTTAGATTTACTGAAACATTGCATTAAAAGAGATGGGGGAGAGGACTCTATACTTCATCCTTTGACAGTTGCAACACAGAATTAATATCTGTAATTAAACAATTTCTATGTATTTACCAGCATTATTTTCACATCATCATCCACGGTCATGGAGTACTTAACAATAGACATTAATGGTCCTGAAATGTGTTTTTCATAGATTCCTCTGTTTTTTTCAGTCCAATGCTGGAAAGTAGGTAAACTCTCCAGGACACACATGTCCGCAATTCGGTGGAAACGCTGCACCTCCAAGTTCAAGTCATCTGCTTCTTGACTACTGATGTACCTGCAGCAAAATAATTTTTCTCTTATGTGTATCTATTATATATATACACTAAGATGAAGCAAAATAACTAAAGTTTATCTGTAGGCTAAGTGATAACTGACCTTAACGGCACTGTTTTGATTGTAGAGGTTACATAGGGTCAAAGAAGAAGGAAAGATGAATCATCAACAATAACTAAAGTAGGCAAGAATTTGACGAAAAGGCAATCATGATCTATTTGAAGCCAGAACTCTGGCATTTAAATGCAGCAGACTGAAGACAACAGCAATGGAGGTCATCATCAGAATAGCCTGTAATCTGGTAGCAATTAGAGCAGGGTACCTTACAATGGGCCATTACTGTCCACTTTACTCCCAATGACATGGGTCACAGCTGTAGCCAAACAAGGGGGAACCTAAAGCTTATCAAATTAGGGTTGAACTTTTTGAGACAGCAAAATATAATTGGCTTGGATTATCTGTAGAAAAATTAATACAAAATAAGGTCACTGCCACCATGATCCACCACGTACACGAGAATACAGCAGAAGTATGTATATTACTAAGGAATTCTGTAACACAGCCAAAAACGGAATATGAGCTCCTTCTACAGCAAATCCAAAACTGACTAAAAACATGGAATAATTCTAGAACCAACTGTCAATGATGTGATGGTTCAAAATAAGCAAGTGTAATAAACCTGCAACTTCCTCTTCCTCTGGAGAAAATCCTATGTCCATTACACAAATTTGAGGTTGGCTCCAAAGCCATTCTGATTTTTAAGATAAAAATAAAAATTCCCTAAACTGGCTTACTGGTATGATTAAAGGCATATAATGAATATGTACCAGCAAAAAACAAAAGATAATAAAATGGAATAAAACAACATATATGGTTAACGTACAGAATGTCTGGCTTTAAATGTCAATAAAATGGGGCATTATAATGTGAAATGAAAACAAGACATTAAATTGCCAAAATTTTCATGCTGTGTGGTAACTCTACAAGATATTTTCCTACTTGGTCCAAGTTACCTTGTATGTGTGTGCATATGCAGAGCCGTTTCATCCCATTCTGCTTTGCTTTAAGTAGAGAGACAACATACTATGTGCGGAAGAAAGGGGTCTGCTGTCATTGGCAGAACTTAAATCATACACCCATATTTAACACAAGTTTAATCAGGTGTACCAGAACCAAGCAGCACCAATTTACAGATCTATAGTGCAATGGGACAAGTGTCTGGAAGACACAGGGAGTAGTGCCTTGCAATAAAATGAGCCTCACATCAAACTGTATCCCAAGACAATATGAAATACATATATGGAACATTTCAGAGGAACCCTCACAAATTTGTTTGCTGTGTAAGTTTTGAATTAGGCCTGTAATGCTGAAGTGTGCGTGATGGTTTGCACATAAGACTAAAATTGCATGCTTAAAAGCTTTAGTTACCCCAGAAGACAACACAAATACATTAGAATTGGAGAAATCAGTTTAGAAATGCTTTGTCACACTGAAGAGAATAAGACCTACCTCTATAGAATTGTGTGTGTGTGTGTGTCTGTGGAGGAGGAGGAGGAGGGTAACAAGACACAGGCAAAACTGCCAAGTATGGTGTAGTGAAAATCCTCAATAAGTTATTGTACATGAGCATGCTTCACCAGAGGTTAATGTATGGGTGCGCTGTGATGAAACAAAACACTGACAGTACTTTCCTTTTTGAAGAACCTATAACAGCTGGATAGCTGCTAGCCATGATGGAGGCCACTGCTTTGCATCACATTCCTGAAGGAAGTGTTTTCCAGTTACATGATGTACTAACTCACTTCCTCCATAATATATGTGCATTTCTGGGCAGGGAGTTTCAAAGAAGTGCTATTCCCTTGCCCCCACTCTCTTCAGACCTTACTCCCTTAAAATTTTGCTTTTTCAGTCTGTAAAAGACGCTGTTTATCAAGAAGAGATGAAAAAGATGCGTGAAAGAATTGTTCGAAATGCAACAAAATGTTCACTAATCATGGCAAGAATTGCATATAAAACTGAAGTGCGTTGTGCCACTCATGGTATCAATACCGAGACCTACTGAGAACACACGAAACTTCGTAATATATGGTATTTGAAAATGTATCAATTTCTCCTGAAAATTTAGTAACTGAAGCTATATAATATTTTATTGACATATAGGGCTGGACATGCTTTATAAATGACTGTGGTCATTTTACTTTCTCTTACCTTCCACGAGATTCAACAACTTGAAGTATCAAATTTATCTGTTTCTGCACCTTCACTTTCACGTGACTGTCCAAATGGAGCTCTACCTTTTTGGCCTTTGCTGCCAGCTGACATAGAATTTCACATTGAATTCCCAAGGTCTCCATGTCGACACTGCTCAGTACATTCTTCCTGTTCTTCTTGGTCCGAAAATTGAGGGCACTAAGAATACTGTCATATAATCTTTTGAAATGACCAGATTCTGGAGAGTAAGAAAAATAAAGGCATAGTCTTATATCACAGTGCAATTACATTTTAATGCACTATAATATCTACAGATGTTAAAACACATATACATTCTCTTGCAAGCTGTTACGTTTACAAAATCAATGTAATGTTTAAGTTATTACTTATATACAAAGGTTTATGCCACCCAAGAACCCAAGTTTGGCCTACCTTCACAAAGCTTGTTCACAGTATTGCAGTTTTCTAACATAACTGTGGTGAAAAGGTTGAGGTTAGTTTAAAAGAATGGGGAACTCATGTAGTACCAGTTAACTAGCATGCTTGTGAATCTGACAGTAAAGTTCTTTTTTGTCAGATCAATCTGCGCAAAGCATTTGTGTCTACAGAATTTATAAAATACTTACTTTAAAAATTATTGTACAATTTTTTCATAGTTTGGGGTGCCCACGAAAACTGTTAGGCTGATTAAAATGTTTGATTGAAACATACAGTAAAGTCTGTATAGGCAAATATTTGTATGATAATTTTCCTATCCAGAATGGTATAAAAGGGGGAGATGCTTTATCATCACTGCTTTTCAACTTTGCTTTAGAATATGCCATTAGGCATGTCCAGGAGAGCCAGGTGGGACTGAAATTAAGTTGGATACATCAGCTGCTGGTCTGTGCTAATAATGTGAATCCACTAGGTGATAATATAGATACCAAAAAGAAAAACACATAACTTCAATTGATGCTTAAAGAGGTTGGTCTAGAAGTAAACACAGAGAAAACTAAGTATATGTTGCTGTCTCATCACCATAAAGCAGGGAAAAATTATGATATAGAGACTGCTAACAGACATTTTGAAAATGTGGCACAGTTCAGGTATTTGGGAATGAATATAACAAATCAAAACCTGATCCAGGAGGAAATTAAGAGGAGACTGAACTCGGGTAATGCTTGCCACCATTCAGTCCAGAACCTTTTGTCTTCTCCTCTGCTGGCTAAAAACATAAAAATTAGAATATACAAAACTATAACTTTGCCTATGGTTCTTTATGGATATGAAACTCAGTTTCTGACATTAAGGGAGGAACACAGACAGGGTGTTTGAGAACAAAGTGCTGAGGAGAATATTTGGATCAAAGAGAAATGAAGTGACAGAAGGATAGGAAAAATTCTCTACCTAAGCACTATGAAAAATACTGGAAAAAATTCTGAACACTGCATAGGAGAAAAAAACATTTAGGTGTGTACAGACAAAACAACTGATGCAAGTGGAAGGTAGGTTCCAAATGCTTTTATTCGGGTTTGAAAAACCAAACTCTCAGACAGAAACAATTTCTGTCACAGTTGGGGAGGGGGCAACATTTAGTATGTACTGTAACTGAAGTCTACAAAAAATTCATAATACTGCATAACTCTAGCATTATATTTACATTAAAGTCTGTTGAAATTCTTATGTCTGAGGCTGACTGTACAAATAATACGTTATTATCTGGACCAGGGCTGTTCATGGCAGGAAACGACAAAGATACCGAGTTGTGATGCCAATGTATCTTCAGATCCCACATTATGTATGTTCATTACTTCATATACTTTCTTAGGACTTTAAGAATAAATACTGCTTTATGGGAGCTGCGATTATCATAGCGGTGGTTATGAAGAGTTCTATCTTCTGGGATATAACACTGTGCTCACTATGTTTCATGCTGGTTTCTTGCTTGGCTTATTCTTCGACCCTGAAGATGGAGGCAATATGCTCGTCCTAAACATTAGTTGACTTTCAATGGGCTACACGGTGTTCTACCCCAAAAGATACAACTCTTCAAATACTGCTTCGTTTGCCAATACTTTACCATTCAGAATGTTGATAAATGTTTCTCTGTTGTGTATTGTCCTTATTCCTGCCAATGTTTCTAATCCTGAAACTGAAAATGAAATATTATAGCCAGTCACTGTTCTTCACCACATATGTATAGGCTGGATATCATGTAGCTGAATAACTTCTAACGGGTAATCAGATTACTTAATAATAAAAGGGTTAGACTGATCTCATGTAATTGGAAAGAACTGATAGATGACAGGCTCAGAAGTATACAACTCTCTGATTAAAGGAATTTTAAGACTCCAATAAATGTCACAGAGTTCATACAGATGTAACAACAGGTTAAGATAGGTAAGGTTGTCCTTGCGCTTAATTAATTGAACACTAAGCCTTAAATACATATGGGGGAGACACAGTTTCACCATTCCTTCACACCCTGTCTGCTTTATCACCGCGGAAATCACTCTGGGTACCCATTGGATTGGAGGCTGGATGGGCCACAGAGCTGGTCTGGACACTGAAGAACAGAAAATCTTGCCCTTGCCATGATATTAACCTTGGCCATCCAGCCTGTAGCCTGTCATTATACTAACTGAGCTATAGGTGTAACAACAGGAGCTGATGAAAATATCATAGAGGTCAGTGGGCTTGTTTGAATTTTTTTTTCAGTAATCAAATGACGTAAAATTAAGCATGAGTTACAGAGACACCTCAATCACTGTTAAAAATAGATATTCAGAGATAAATGAGTGAATAAATTTTGTCAGGAAGTTCTTCCAAGTTAATTTATAACACAGCACAGTTCAGTTATTAGTTAATTTACTTAAATGAATATTCTAGTATGCTTCAGTCATGAATCTTACTTGCTTAGTTCTACAAGGTACTGAATGTTGCTCATACACTTTCAATTTAGAGTAAAACCAGAGACTTTAAGATGCTATATAGCTGATGTGCCCTTCCTATGTGATCTGATTAATACTGTTACCTGATGTGCTTTGCCCATTCTGGTTCACTCTAGGCCACCATGGCTGCACCAGTCACATCACCCAACTACAAGTCATTACACTAACTTCAGCACGGCAACTCATTAGAGTTTCAAATAAAATTTAGAACTTGTGATGGCTAATTGCTTGAACATTGGTCAGTCCTGGACAGCTAGACAATGATGCGGAAGCAAGGATCCAAACCCCACTTTAAGTCATGTATATTTCTGATACGTGCAAAGGATTACATTTAACAGTTTGTGTTTTCTACTGCATGCCAGTGTATGATCTAGAACAGAAATCAAGCTTCTCCCCTTCCAAAACAAATACACATATACAGAAACAAACAACTAACTAAAACTGCAGTGCCACAATTTGTTAAATGATCTCAGCATATTAAAGCGATGATGATTAATTCACAGCATGAAAATCCTGGACAATTAAAAGTAAACTAGAAAGTGGAGATAAATGATATCATGAGGAACATTCAATATGCCGTGTCTTCCATACTGTTACCATTTATCATGTTCGCATTTACAATATGTACAGTAAGTTTCAAAATAAAGATATATGATCACAGCACATCGGTCACTGATTCACAAAATGGCAATAATGACAAATTTAACGATCATATACAATTAGTATTTGAATGCAAACAAATATTGAAATTATTTTACTTCACACAGATAATTTACTAAACCAAACATAAAGCAGCAAAATAATCCATCTGTCCGTTCCACTTTATACAACGTCTCTTTATTAAGTTTACTCACGCTATAATATGATTACAATATTGTATCATAGTATCCTTCTGCACATCACTTATATATTCCCACTAGTTATGTTGGCCAAAACATGTATTGTCAATACACCAGTGATGCATAAGAGATTTTATCATTTAAAATTTCTAAAGGTTTTAAAAAGCAAGTTGCATGTGAAACAGATAACAACTAAAAGCAATAAATGATGATTACATGATACTGGAATTATGATATTCAACCCAGTGCGTTGTTGAAGAAAGCAGTCTTCTGGGATTTGGCACCGTGTATATGTGGTGTTAACCGACGTTTCGGAGGAACGTATCGCCCCCATCTTCAGACCGTTTCTCACGGTGTTGTCGCTTGCAGATTTCTTAAACTTTTTCTTCAACCCTGAAGATGGGGGCGATACGTTCCTCCGAAACGTCGGTTAACACCACATATACACGGTGCCAAATCCCAGAAGACTGCTTTCTTCATAGTCACCGCCGTGAAAGCCTCAAATCTTACACAGTGCGTTGTTATTTACAGTATAGCTTTACCAGACACCACCTCTCCAGTGTAGTCCCTACATTTCAATTCCAAGAAATAATGTGATATTTTAAATAACTTTGACCCAAACATGGCGCTCTCTTGGGTTGACACACAGAAAAACCAACACCAGCTTTTCACAGTAAAAAAGCTTCTGCACAGCTGTTTTGTTCAAGGACCGACCATTTGGACTCAAACTATCCAGTGGCTACATGCAATATAACGTTGTTGCATCAGCTAATGACAAGCTGGGAATAATTATATCTAGCACACTTATATTAACTGGGGATGTGCAGGAACTGGTTATAACTGAAGGGAAAATCAGTCATCTGCAGAGCCATGACATTCAACTGTGTTCTTTTCTTTACAGGAATCAGAAAGAAGTACACTTGTAACTCATGCTGCAAACAAAGGAATTAGGTAACATTTGGAAGTCAAACAGGCTTCAGTTCTGAGCTATCTTACTAACCTTTGCCAGGTACTTCTCTCAACTTTTCAATGAGCTGATTCCTGCTTTGCTCAATGAAATTCAGCTTGCCAAATGCTTTCTCTTTCACCTCACACACTGCAGCATACCGTGGTTTAATGATATTTGAGTAACGGATGTTTCTTCTTATTACAGTGTTACACAATGGACACACCTGAAAAAGAACAAATATAAAGCTTATGCTACTACTCAGCCCATGTCCTCATGGACTGGTGACAGATTTCTATGATGCAGGTGTACAGAAACTTTCCACATGATACAAGTGCCAAATCTTCATAGGGATTAGGTAACTAGTCCACATTAAAGAGATATCTTTGCTCGTGGTCATTTTATTCATTAGAGGAGTTTTTTAATCAAAATAATTTGTAAATACTGATTGGATGTAAATGGGATTGACTGTATGTTATATTTTTTAATTTTAACTATGTTTATTACTTAGTATTATGTGATATTGTTTTATGATTAATGTTTAATGATTGTGATGAATGAACTTGGAGTAGTAAGAAGTAAAAGGTTGTATTTCTAACAGTGTATGAATCTATGTTGTTATGATATGGCTTGATTTAATGTTACACCGTGTATCTTTTTATGTTTTGTATGAGATTGTATAAGTTTGACTAGCTCTATATCCTATGGGTGCTAAAGCCCCTGTACAGGATTTGTGGAGTTATTTAATAACAATAAACAATAAACAATAAACTGCATCAGTCTTTAACCCTCTTCACCACTTCTTCATCACTACCTTTGCACACAGCACCCAAAAACTGCTTCAAGTGTGTGAACATGTGAAAATCACTTTGAGCTAGGTCTGGACTGTAGGGAGGATGCAAAAAGAAGTCACAGGCAAAGTCAGCAAGTAGCATGTGTGCTAGTGGCAGCATACTGGTGTCCAAATTATCGTACATCAGATCCACTCCTGTAGACAGCTGGCTTCACCGGTGGTTTTGGATAGCATATTGTAGCAGCTTCAGGGTTGCACAATATGATGCAGCAATGATGGTTTGGCCTTTGGGCCTGAATTCCAACACCAGGACGCCTTTCTGGTCCAAAAAATCTGTGAATAGGGCTTTCTGGGGTTGACGTGTTTGAATTTTATGAGCTTTGATGGTGAATGAAAAGAATGCCACTCCAGAGATTGACGTCCACTGTCAGGGATGGTATGTGAACGTTTGTTCTGCCCTCATTAAGCATGAGACACCATTTCCCCACACCTGACTCAATTATTTACACCTTCCCCATACGCTGCAATAACGTGGCAGTAAATTTCAATTCAATGGACACTTTGTTATCCAAAAAGCAAATTACAGCTCACACTTCACAATCAGTGGGATTATCAATTTTCTTACCAACTTTTAAATATTGCAAAAAACTGTAAAGCAACAGAATCAGCATGTCATTCACTTGGCTACTAAGATTCATTAACCTTGAAATGGCTCAATTTGTCATCCTGTGCAAGTGCTATTCGCAAACGGTCTTTATTTTCTGGATTACCCTTGTAGATTCAGCATGGACCACATGGAAAATTTTGCATCTCACAGCTTCTTTGTTGTTGCAAGACATTTTAAATGAGCTGTTGCCTAGCGATGGCCCACATATTATTGATCTGGGAGCGCATTTTGCTTGCCATGGAAATGTGTTTACCAGCTATTGCCTAGCAATTCTGCCTTTTTGAGGAGGGTATGCTATTCCAGCTTTCAGTTGTCATGTCACATTAGTATATTAAAACTTTCTACATTGTATAATCCTGAATATTAGTATTACAGGAATGCAATCTTGTAACTTACCATTTCATGATATAAAAACTCAGTAATTATTTCTGGGAGTCGTTTCATAGCATTCTTAGTAGCTATACTACACAGTTCAAAATGGCAGGATGAGAGATGAATCTGAATGGATTTTGGAAGAAACTAGCCATGGCCTAACCACAGCAATAACCCAGTATTTGCCTGGAGGTAAAGCGCAAAAAAAAAAAAAAAAAGTGAAGCTATCCCTGTCCCATGCCATGAAGGCCCATAGGGTTGTGAGACATTGAGGATCCTACATTATCTAGACAATCGGCTTAAAGATGGCGGTAAGGTTGTCAGCTTCACGCGCCGGCCGTGCTTTACTCCCCAGGAAAATTATTTAATTAATTCCTGGTACTCATTTCTGTTAGAGGCTGAGTAAACCCTAGGGCCTAGTGCAGTTTGAAGGATTAGGTCAACTGAAAAAAATCTAATGACATCATTGGGACTTGAACCCGCGACCTTCCGGATTGTAGCTGGAGGTACAGAGCAAAACCACAAACTCTCAGTCAGAATAGCTGGTATCCTGGCCTAGACGTGAACCCAGGGCCTCCTACATACAATTCTACAGTGTTGCCACTATGTCAACCAAGTCAGTATTTGATGACTTTCCTTAATTATCAGATTTCTGGCCAAGAGATTGGTTATCCGGATATTTCTGTGGTTTTATTCAGTCATTCTGGTATAGTTGCTTCAAAACAAATGTGGCTATCCCATCCCACAACCTTACTTTCATTGTTATTTTACACAATGTAACTTTTCCAGATTTAACTGTATTATGAATAAACAAGCAACATTTATATGATAATCTCAAAATTAAGCTTCCAATATGTAATTTTCTCTGTTGCCTTCCACATTTAAAATTTAATATCTTCAATCTATGTTCTTCCTCCCACGTGCCAGACGGAGTTTTGCATGCATATAAAACAAATGATATCATTTCCATCATACTTTGAAGGAACAATTCAGTCACCACTTGCCACCCCAGTATTAAGCCCAGCTCATTTGATGTATTACTGTACACAAAGAGCTTGTCTTCTGCTTTGCAATACAGAAAACTGCCATCAGAAAAATGATAAATACAAGACTGTGATCAGCACAACATGAAAAATGCATGGAAACAAGTAGTGACTGAAAACTAACTGTACTGATGACTTGTGACTGAACAAGATATATAAAAGAAACAAAACTTAAATCATTATACAGTTATCACCTAAATTTTTGGTAGTAATAGTAGTAGTATATGTATTCCTCACACCAGATTACCGTTGACTTCTCTAATTAGGTGACTCGAGACCATTTAAGAGGGTGAAATAAATGGAAGAATAAAATGGAAGAATAACCATTATATGTTAGAAAAAGAGGATGAAAGGATGCGAACAAAACTGACGTACTTAGCACTCTGCAATGGTGGGCTTTTTTAGTAGTGATGATCCTTCAAGTTCCATAAAGGCATAGATCTGTATTAAGCGGCCTCTGTAGTCTAGGGGTAACGTTCCCACCTCATGACTCAAGGTACGTGGGTTCAAACCTGGTGGAGGTCATGGAATTTTTAAGGCCGGAAAAATTCAGGGAACAAGTCCTCCGGGACGGACTTTAAGCCGTGGGTCCCGTGTCGTAGATTTACGGCACATAAAAGATCCTCATGTCTCTAGGAGACCTCTGAGCAAAATTAGGCAGTGTTTCCTGCCCAAATAGTTTCCAGTTCCTCTGGTAGATGGGGTAGATCGGGTACCACTGCCAGAGAGGGCCAACCTCACCGGCAGAACGGGGCTGATAGCGAGCACCAGTACTGGAAGGGCATGGTGACAGCAGAAATTAAAGGGGGACGCACAACAGATCAACAACTGGTCGCAGTGCATGGGCAAACCCACCCCCAAAAATAATAATAATAATTATTCCCTCAGCAACCCCACGCTTCGGATGAAGCGCAGGATTTTGGACGTGGGGGTGTTGAATATATGCATTACATACTTACACACATTTTAATTTGGCCATCATCAGTTTTCAACCACTTTTCAAGAGCACGGGATTCTATTGAATGTTTGCAGTCTTCCAGGAACACAAACCTATTGAAAAAGCCACACATGAACGGAGAACTCAAAGTAATGAATGGATACTTATGGATGAACTCTACACACAGTTGTTTTCTTTACAGCTGTGTTGAATGGAAAAAGTACAGATTCAAAACACTGTCAGCAGAAGTTCCATTAAAAAGAAAAGTATCAAATTTAATGCAGATTAACTATAAAGTTTCATCAAGCTGAAAATTTCTCGTACTGTTTCAATATTATTCTTCACTTCAGACAAAAATGTTGTCATGTGTAGGGTGGTACAGGTGACAAAAATAACAGGTTCTATTTCAGATGATTGGATTTATTAGCACATTGGTTATACATTCTCTTAATCACACTTAAATACAGTGCTATTGCTGATTTACACACTTTCCAGTTCACCACTGCACACACACTAGGATTCTCCCTTTTTACTAGTCATCTCCTGGCAACGGATCTCAACAGAGAAACCAGCACTTCAAATCATTGTGAAGTCTTCTTGCTATTTAGTCTTCAATGACTCTGGAATCTCGGAACTAAAAATTCTTCTGGATTCAATCCTCCAGCTTACAACTGACTCATAAGTGCCCTGAGTAAGTTGTCACTCTCTTCTCTTATAAGCACTCTGCACAGATGCCATGGAAAATTCCGGCTCTATTGTTCATGTCACTGCTTTCACAGCATGGTCCGATATGCGAAAATGTGTTTACATAACCGTTGCTTAGAAACTGAATGCATAATCCCGTTGTTCCATGGCTGCTCAGCGCGGACAACACAGAAAAAAGGACTGTTTACTAAGAAGCTGTCTTTGCAGGAACTTGTTTACAAACATGTTCCCTAGCAATGGGTGTACATGTAACAATATCCTAATAAAAACTGCTCCTTTACGGGATCTGTTATCATATAAATATTTGACAACTGACGCAGGCTGTTGCCAGCGTTAAATCTCACAAGGTCACCACAATGACAAATCACAAGGCAGAGATAGACCTTCACAATTCAAAGTGGTGATGAAGAATAATTAAGGGTAGGGGGGAGGTATGTGTAAGTGACTTACAGATACAAACTATTAGAATTAACATTTCCTTCTTCAGGCTTTAGGGTGGCATTTGCTTCTGCACACACCAGGTTTAACATACAGCAGAACCCCTAGTTCATATTAGACATTTCCAGGTTCTCCGCCATTTAGCAATGTTTCAATGATTACAGTGTTAAGTTTCCCAAATTTAAGCCTTTCCTCAGTTGTGTTTACATTCATTGTTTCAAAAAGAAACCTTACATGCAGGTTTCACTGTATGCATAAATACCATATATCAAGGAATATTGTTCTATAAGGCCGTGTTAAGCACCTTGTTAAAATATTATATTCTCTGTGGTGATACTAGATGGATTACAAATCCCTGCAGTGCAAAGATCAATAAACTGATAACATAAAAATGTTTAAGTGCCAGCATCAGTTTATGAGGACAACTTGGTCTCATGCCAAGCCTTGTGGTTTTATTAAAAAAAACATCTCTTCAGCTACAACCAGCTGCAAAGCTGTAACTTAACTAGTAGGTTCATGGATCTCGGCAGATTTCACTCCTTTAAGAAACACTTAAATACAAGAGTACAGCAAATGAAAGAAAAGGTAAATTTATCCATGTGCTTAATTATGTATCATGCTATGAAGACATATTGGAGTGATTGCGTACAACTCCTTGCATTCTTAATTTTGACACTCACTGAAGATGAGTGGTCACTTTCATGTTCCAGAAGATTTACTCTTGGCAGAACACCCTCTCCAGTACCCACTGGAGGGGAGGTTGGGTGGTGCTTAGAGCCAGTTGGGTGCAGTGAGGAAAGGAAAATATCTTAATCTACTAGAAAATGAAACCTAAATCCCTGTTCATCTAGCCTGCAAGCTTAGAAACAGCCCACTTCACAAAGAATAGTATTTCTTTCTAATTTCTTGGGGTGGGGTGAGACTGAGTCCACTTGGCATGTCATCCGCTCTTTGGCCCATTACACCAGCTATGGATGATAGATAGTGTGTGTGCAGCAATCAGTGGAATGAGAATTAGCAGGAGAAACAGAAATACTTGGGGGGGGGAAACTGTCCCCATGCCACTTTGTCCATCACAAATCCCACTTAACCTGAACTGAGATTGAACCTGTGCCACCTCGGTAGGAAGCCACCTACTAACTGCCTGACCTATGGCATGGCTGGCTGTCAAAAATAGTATGAGTAAATAAGGATAAAAAAAGTTTATTGAAATGATATCCACAAAAGTCAGACCTAGAACTGCTAAAATGAAAGTCAATTGGACTCCAAATTTACCTTGCATCTTCTTCATCTTCAAAACCAAAAACCACTGTTTTTACCTCCTCCTCATCACATATTCTGCACAATGGAGGGCACCATTCCCCACAAAACCCAATACAGGGATGTCCACACTTAAGAATTTTTTCACATGAAGCATAACATGGTGGCCGATTGCATGGCTGATAACATCGGTTTGTACAACTATAATGCTTACACCGCCAAAAGCATTTCTCCTGAAAAGAAAACCAGCCCTACATTAACAACACAATGAGTCACTCAACTATACTTTAGATCCTGAAAGTACTAAGCTGCAAACATTCATTCCATTATTATTCATTCTTACTTAAATCTGCAATAAAATTTTAATAAAATGACCATAAATTAATGAATGAAATTAAATTAGAAACAGACGTTACAGTTTTTGGGGCTTACTCAATTCAATTTATTTGAACATTCCGTTGATCCTTAGTGGCACAATAATGACCAGTAGATGTGGAATTAGTCACAGACAAAACCAGACAAGTATACTGTATTCCATAACAGAATGCACATAGGAGAAATAAATCACCTTAAGGGTTTCTTGTGACATAAAACCTTTTGCTGTCCTAACAGCATAACAAGCTGAACTCATTTTAGTTACTAATTGGTCAATATGAAGTTTCCATGATAATGTCTCGTCGATGTGTAAACCAAGAAACTTAATATTTGATGTGTTAGTAACATGCTTGTTCCACAGCAAATACTGATATTGGTTTCTAAACTATTGTTTGTCCTCAATAAAAGGTAATGGGTTCTTTTTAAATTTAAAGATAACAAATTGGCTTTAAACCATTCATTTATGGCTACAAGTTGTTTATTCATATTAGTTTCAAAAGTCAGAAGGCTAGGATTAGACATTATGATGCTTGTGTCATCAGCATATAGGATGATTTTTGCATTGTTGGTTATTATGTTAGGAAGCTCATTTACATACAATAGGAAACATAATGGACCAAGGATAGAGCCTTGTGGAACACCATGCTTTATGATCTCCCACTCGGAGGAGGTATTGTTATGAGTTTTCCTGTTACCTAATACCACTTTCTGATATCTGTTGTTTAGGTATGATGTAATTAATGCTTTAAATGTTCCTACTATCCCGCAGTGTTCCAATATATCATGGTTGACACACTTCAATGCTTTCTCTAGGTCACAAAATATACCACCAACGGTTACTCACAGTGAATATCTCTTAAGCTTTCCACAGAGCAAGCAATCATACACAGTATTCATGATTTAATTATATTAAATTTAAACATACATAACGAAAAAAGTGTTCACATACTTCACTCAAAAATAGGTTCTTATACAGCACAGCTACACTTTTCCTTGAACTAAATACCCAACTGCTTAAGTTAATATTGAAAAACTGGCTAATTCAAAATTACATAACTTCAAGCTCATAATATCTACTTCAAGCATTTTAGATTAATGAAGTTCTACTACTGTAAAGCAAAATTAATTATCTCACTTGACACGGTGTGCATGGCTGGCCGCATTTCTTCTGGCACCGGTTATGGTAACATCGTAACATGCACTTCTTATTGCATGGAGGACATGTGACAGCACATGGTGTGTTACAGCTGAAATAGTAAAACACATTTCAAAATGTACCATGATATTCTGGCACAAAAATTAATGAAATTCTATGTAACGCATAAGCAAATTTATCTGAACATGTCACATTCTGTAAGGTCCACTTTACTCATTAAATTAATAGACTAACACTGGACTAGTTGCCAGATTAAGACTGATATTTAGCGGCCTCCGTAGTCTAGGGGTAACGTTCCCACCTCATGACTCAAGGTACGCGGTTCAAACCCTGTGCAGGTCATGGAATTTTTAAGAGCGGAAAAATTCAGGGAAAAAGTCCTCCGGGAGGGACTTTAAGCCGTGGGTCCCATGTCATAGATTTACGGCACATAAAAGATCCTCATGTCTCTAGGAGACTTATGAGCAAAATTAGGCAAAAAGTTTCCCACCCAAGTAGTTTCCAATGCCTCAGGTAGATGGGGAAGTATCAGGTACCACTGCCAGAAGAGGGCTGACCTCGCTGGCAGAGTGGGGCTGATAGCGAGCACCAGTACTTGAAGGGTACGACGACAGTAGAAATTAAAGGGGGATGCACAATGGATTAATAACTAGTCTAATAATAGTAAGACTGATATTTGACTGCAGTACAATTTAATAAAAGTTACAATTACTTGTACTTTAGAAAAGGACCCTCCTGAGATCTATTTATCTGTAGATATCACATCCAGAGATCCAATGTAAGTTCATGTTGATTCAACTGTGAACTGCCAGAGTCAGCCCAAAATTAAACTGGATCAATATTTTGAGAAAGAGAGTCGAACAAAGGACCTGAAAGGGCTCGTAACAAAATAATGAAAGACTTTCTGATATTCACAGTAGTTAAAACAGTACAAGATTCATTTTAAACAGGACCGTCACTATGCTACAAAGTAGAAGGTTGCGGGATCAATTCCTGATGAGGTCATTGTATTTTTTCAATTTACCTAATCCTTCCGGCTGTACTGTGGTCCTGTGGTCTACTCAGCCTCTAACAGAAACGAGTACCAGGAATCTTCCAGGGGGGTAAAGGGCAGCTGACATGTAAGGCTGACAACCTCACCGCCATGTGTGAGGCGACTGTCTAAAATATGTGAGAACCTCGATGTCTCACAAACCTGTGGGACTGCACGGCCTGTTACAGGTACAGCTTTACCTTTTTACCTTCAACTGTAATATACAACTGCTAAAAATGCTGGAATTGTGAAACTGTCCAAATATGGATAAACACACCAGCTATGCCAACTGTGATTTACATTACTAAAATCTTTCAGTTTCCAGGATGTTCAAACATCTAACAGAAGATCTGTCAACAGTATAGTAATGGTAATTACGCAGTTCATAATTATTAAAAAAATTACTACACCGAATTTTAGATTTGTACTTCAAAAACTGGAGGTCGAAAATTATACCTTTAAAAAATATCAAGAACCTAAATTAATTCTTATGAATATTTCAATCACTGTTCACCACACCAAAGTGTTTCTGATCATATTTATAGAACATTTCTTTGTGTAACAATACTTACCTCTCATATAGAGTTCCCTACTTCTTCTACTTTCATTAGTAACTTCTAGTGACTATGACACCAAGAACTCAGAATTCAATCAACTCTGATTTTCCTGACCATTCTCCTTCCCTTTGTGGTCTGTTTCTAGTCGATTTTCTGGTGTGCTGACTGGCCTATATGAACCATCAAGTCAGCTGGGGGGGGGCTGGTCAAAAACACGAGTTTTTATGCACAGCTGGTGGGTACTGCATTCAAAGTTATGCTTGGGTTGTGTATTATGAATGTGCTTCTTGTGCTGACCTCCAGCATGTTGTACAACTGCCCTGCCTAAAGTATTTCACTTGTTACCTTTCATTCCTTGTTACATGTATCTCTTAACTGGCCTCAGCCTTGTCATCGTAGTACCGTTTAAACTGAAACTACACCAAGACCCCCATATTTATGACTATAACCATATGGGCATACTGCTTATGTACATGACCTTATTTGTTGCATCATTTCTTTTTCTCAATTTAATACTCATCCACTGCATCCTTTTCCAGTCATGTTTGCTGTTCTTTGCTGTATTATACCCTTTCATTGGGGAAATCCTACTAGGTAGGTCACAGAAGAGAAGTGATTAGGAATAACTAGTAAATCCTCTACTGTATCTCGCATCCTCTACAACAATTCAAAATACTTCCAAGCATGTAACAGCTGAACTTTATTGTCATGACCTCCATAACTGCATGCATGTTACCCAGATCTATATTTCTGAAACTGCTAAATTATATTAATGATTCTGGTTTTGAGAGAAGTTCAAATGTGCATAACACTTGCCAGATATCATTCACTTCATAAATGCACAGATTACAATCAAGAATTTAATCTAAAAATTTCATGTAAGATTTGAGGCTTTCACGGCGGTGACTATGAAGAAAGCAGTCTTCTGGGCTTTGGCGCCGTGTATATGTGGTGTTAACCGACGTTTCGGAGGAACGTATCGCCCCCATCTTCAGGGTTGAAGAAAAAGTATAGGTAAATCTGCAAGCGAAAACACCGTGAGACACTCTGCGTTACCGTGTCTCGCGGTGTTGTCGCTTGCAGATTTACCTATACTTTTTCTTCAACCCTGAAGATGGGGGCGATACGTTCCTCCGAAACGTCGGTTAACACCACATATACACGGCGCCAAAGCCCAGAAGACTGCTTTCTAAAAATGTCATGTTGCCAACTAATAAATTGATTTCTCTTGTTCTTTTTTAAATGTCAATTGTGGAAGGGGTGGGGAGAGAGAGAATCTTATAATAAGATAAATATGCCAATTTCTTCAATACATTTCTACGCATATAATGTTGAATGGAATAATATTGACCTGTGTCCACAAATCAGTGTCTTGCCACATGCCTTATCACATGGTACATGAATGCGACCTTGCAGACATTTGCTGCACGTTCCAGCACAAACATGCTCACACTTGAGTTCAGCACCACATGGTACACTGCAGTAGGAGAGAAGTTCTTCTGCAGTTGGTGGCACACCTGAAATGTCAGTATGTTTCAGCAACAAGAAATGTAAGAATTTTTTAAACTTTAGGTTCCTGTAGATGACTAAAATTAAATTGGGGGACGGAGGAGCTCGTAACATCTGTCAGTTTGTACAAATTAAATATCTCTACTTTTGCTGCATAAGGTTGGAGCAAAAGGGGACACAAGAAATCTCCCAATTATAGACAATTTTCAATTTTTCAGGGTTCTTTTTTTTTTTTCAGAAATTCTTTAAATATTAATATATAAAAGAGTGCTGACCTCCTTAAACAAACCCAACATGACATGTGAGGCTCACAATGGCTTCAGAAAGAAGAAATCTACCAATACAGCAACACAATTCATAGAGGATATCCAGAAAGCATTTGATAATCTGTTAGTTATGGTCATATTTTTAGATTTAACTAAGGCCTTTGATGTAATAAATCATAAATTAATGCTTGCCAAATTGAAGCTGTGGGGACTTCGCAGGAAAATACACTCATGGATGAATTCATATCTTACTGGCAGAACTCAATTTGTGGAAGTACAGCATTTATATGAAAAGACTGCAAATATAAAGTCGTTTGCTTCATCATGTAAAGAAATAAAATATAGTGTACCTCAGGGTTCTGTTTTGGGACCCCTTCTGTTCTTTTTGTTTATAAACGATTTACCCCAAACTGTTAAAGAAGTTAAGGTGGTGTTATTTGCGGACGACACAAACATATATTAGTCATTGAGAAAAACCTTCCGCCTTCAAAAGAAAAATCAGTAAAAGTTATGAAACAATTAGAAAACTGTTTCCTAACAAATAATCTTATAATAAATACTGAAAAGACTAAGCAATACTATTTCAGGGAAGAGGATCTAGTTTAACTCATGGACCCATTCTGTATTTAAAAAATAAAGAAACAACTTACTCATCATATTTAAAATTTTTAGGTATTTGTATCACAGATAACTTTAGCTGGGCCACATATATACAATATCTTAGCCATAAATTAAACAAAGCTCTTAATTTGATTAAATCCATATGAGACTCAGTAAGTTTACCGGTACTAAGAAATGTTTATTTTACTAAATTTGAATCTATACTGAAATCTGGTATTATTTTTTGTGGGTGAGTAAATAACTGTAAAACAGTCTTTAAAATAAAAAAAAAAAAAGATCTAAGGCTCATTAAAGGAGTGAATAACAGGGTGTCCTGTAGAAGTCTGTTGTTGGGTGAATTTAAGATTTTAACAGTAACTTCTTTTTATATATATGCACTTGGTCATCGACTTATGACCACAAAAAAAAAGATAAATAAATTAATAAAAAATCAGGATGTGCTACTGAGGCACATCAATGCCAGAAGGCCTGAGGACACTGCGAGGCAGCTGTGCGTACAATAACTATGGGAGCATCCAGCAACACAGGCCTCCAACACACGCAGTCATCCTCTCTCTCTCTCTCTCTCTCTCTCACATACACTCCATCGCTTTCAAGCATCTGTTGCCGGTTGTGTATTAATTAAAATTCTACTGAAATACTACCCATAAAATGTCTAGTAAAAGGAAAATTCCTTCATCCACAGATACGCCAGCTAAGAAGTCAAGGAAAACTACTGATTTAGAGTGTAAAATGAAAGTTATCCAGCAGAATGGAGGTGAAAAGAAAGTGAATATGATAGCACGTGACTTGAAGTTATCACATTCCATGGTATCAACGATACTTAAGGACAAAGAAAGAATTAAAGAAGCCGTGTTAGGTCCAGCACCTATTAAATCTAGAATTTTAACCAAACAATGATGGGGGCCCATCCATAAAATAGAGAAATTGTTGTTTATGTGGATGGAATATTTAATACAAAAAAAATACACCCATGAGCCTTCACACAGTGCAAGCGAAGGCTAGAAGTCTGTTTCAGGGTTTAAAATCACGCACCAGAGACGATTACGCAGAAGATTTTCAGGCTAGTACTGAGTAGTTTAAGCATTAAAAAAAAAAAAAAAGATTTGCTTTGCATAATGTACGTGTCACAGGAGAATCAGGAAGTGCAGATGAAGATGGAGCCCAAAAATTCGTTTATAGTTTCTACGCTTTAATCAAAGAAGAAGGTTATCTACCGAACAAATATTCAACGTAGATGAAACCGGCTTGCAATGGAAACGCATGCCTAATCATATGTACATACACCAAGAAGCAAAAAAGATGCCAGGATTCAAAACTTTTAAGGATCGGTTGACTTTGTTGCTTGGTGGGAATGCCGCAGGTTTAAACTGAAGCCTTTTCTCATTTATCATTCAGAAAACCCTCAGCATTTAAGCACATCAACAAGCACACACTTCCCGTTTACTACCATTGAAACCCTAAAGCTTGGATGACTCAGGCGCTGTTCGAAGACTGGTTCATGAACTGCTTCATTCCCCGGATTTGTGAATATTGAGGAGAGAGGTATCCCTTTCAAGATTTTATTGGTTATGCACAATGCCCCTGGCCATCCTCTCATCTGGACAACCTTTGTCAAGATTTTACAGTGGTTTTTATGCCACCTAACACAACCGCTCTCATTCAACCCATGGATCAGGGTGCTATTTCAGCATTCAAGGCTCACTACCTCAGAACGACATTCGCACAAGCCATCGAAGTGATAGATTCTGATGCTGATTTATCTTTGCGAGACTTTTGGAAGCAGTACAACATTCTTCAATGTATCAAGAATACTTCGACCACATGGGTATGTGTAACCAAAAATTGTATGTCTGGAATTTGGAAAATGTGTCTAAAATGTTATGCGAATACATTTGAAGGATTTGAAAAAGGAGAGAAACTGCAAGTGATTATAGAAAAAATAGTTAAACTTGCAAAAAATCTTAAATTAGAATGTGAACTGGAAGATGTAGAGGAGTTGCTAGATTGTGAGACAAAAGAACTTTCGGATGAAGAGTTGATTGAATTGGAAGCACAGTGTGTGGCAGAAGAAAAAGCGAGATAGGAAGAGGAGAAAGAAAAAGAGCCATATGGAACCTCTTACATATTTCTACTGCAAAAACTCACCTTCAGTCAACATTGGACAATGAAACATATTTCACACATTTCTGGCATTACCTAAAAAAAGGATATTATAAACACAAAAGTTTAAGAAACTCTTGGAGAACACACTGATCAATCAGGAATGTTACATTCCTGATTACATTACATTACATTACTGATTTTGAATAACTAATCTAATGCCATGCAGCTAAGACCTTCAGAGGCCAACACCTGCTCTGCTACTCAAGATTATGGAACCCAAAGGTACATTACCCTCTCACAAAGCTGCTACTGCTACCCTTAGCCAAATGAATCGAGATCATAACATCTCATCCTATTTCTATAAAACTCATTTTAATCCTTAACTGCTGGGGTATTTAAATGATTAAAGGGTGCAGCTGGCCAGAGTTTAAATGCCCATTGCTGTACAACATTTAAAAACTGTAAGCATGTTACTAAAAATGCTGTGAGTAATACAATTATTATGATAAACAGATTAATTAATTTTGTTTTTAAGAACAAAGCTTACAATGTCACACAGTATAATGTCAAGTTTTAAACTTATCAGACAAAAAAGATACACTCCCTTTTTTTTTTTTTGATACTTACTGAAAAAATAAGAGACCCGCTTCTTCACAAAGTAGTTCTGCATTATAAAATCATTCATGACTGTTAACAAATGAGCCACACTTCCGCCTCATGGATGCCATAAAACACCAGCTGCCCATATACCAAATGAGAGCTAAGTCTGTCCACATATAAGGTTCACATCTTTGTCAAACTCTTTCGGTATTCAACTCTACTGACAAACCCACCCTTTTAGAGAACATATTTTATTTTCTATACAGCCAAATCATTGTTTTACAGCTGTATTTTTCCACAGTATGGTCACAGCCAAACACTTGCATCACAGCTGGTAGCAGCTGCAGACTGCCCTCCTTGTACTGGGCTCATAGTGAATAGGAGAGGAATTTCATACAGTCTCACTTCAATTAGACAATGGCTACAAAACGTCCTTTGGAAGATGAAGCTCAGTCCACATGATCACATGATATGGGGGGGGGGGTCCTTTAATGAATACCACACCAAAGCATGAATCAGTTAGATGGCACAGGAGTGATGGTTTTACATACACAAAGCAGAAAACAAGAAACGATACGTACACTGAATTTTACTGTATTTAAATAGCTGCTGTTTACGATTATGCGAACACATCTACTAGTGGAGTTTAAAAACATGATTCCATGCACTGAGGTAAATTCAAGCATACCTTTAAATACATGAAAATTGGTAGCAGGGAGCATAAAGGTCATTATCATTCTCCTAATTACATTGTGAATAGCTTGAAAAATATAGTGATTAAAAATTCCCTTGCTTTAAAATGTCTGAGAGGAAGAACTGTCAAATTATCTGAGACAAATATTTCCCATTCCACCATTTCTGTGACATGACAAGATTCTGCATCTATTAGGATTATGATGACCCACACTACCTGATGTAAGTTTGTAACATGGTACTTTAACCTCATGACCACATGCTGCTTTCTTGCTACTTTTAACCATCTCCATGCACTGTTTGGTACAAGTCTGACCACATTCTGAAGTGCAGTTATGCCCACATTTTAGTAGCCTTTCGCATGCATGTCGGCACATGTCTGGGGTTGGTGTGTCACAGCACTTCAGTTTTATCTATGACAAAAGGAAGAAAATAATGTGAAAGAAAAGAATATGAAAAAAAAAAAGCATGCATGTATAAGCGAGGGAGCATGTATGCACACAGAGGTAGAGAATGATAAATTTCCTTTAACACTGGCTCTGGTCACATGTTACTTACTGTTAATTTACTTTATACCACTTTCAGTCTCTGTTAGCTATGCAGTTATTAGAGTAGGGTCATAACGTGCATTCTGTACAGCAAACAAGTATATTTTTTGCAGACATGCATACATACAGCATACTAAGATAGCTAAGTCAGTACAGTGACTAGATTATGAGCTGGATGACTGGAATTTGTATCCCAGCATGAAAAATGTTCCATGTGAATGTACGGCACTAACACAATCTACTCATCCATTTCACATGTATCGTTTGTCCCAAAAATCTCTTGGGTGCAGGGGAGGGGGCTTCTCCATTAGCTAAGGGTAAACAGTGAAATGGACAGACAGTGTGTGTTCAGTGCTGCACATTCACATGGAACATCGAAAATCTTAAACATCAACTAAGACTACAAATGTTAACAAACAACAATCTATAAAGATTTGAGGCTTTCACGGCGGTGACTATGAAGAAAGCAGTCTTCTGGGATTTGGCACCGTGTATATGTGGTGTTAACCGACGTTTCGGAGGAACGTATCGCCTCCATCTTCAGGGTAGAACCGTGCTTTTACCGGTTCTCACGGTCTCTTCAATCTGCAGATTTCTTATATTTTTTCTTCTACCCTGAAGATGGAGGCGATACGTTCCTCCGAAACGTCAGTTAACACCACATATACATGGTGCCAAATCCCAGAAGACTGCTTTCTTCAACAATCTATAAGCTAGCCTACTATAGTACATTATATAGTATATACAGTATACAACATACCAGTGGATCCATTTGGCTTACAAAGAATAAATATTACCTACTTTGTATATGTACACCTACAGATCTCTTTTTTGAATATATGGCTCCACAAATGATACATCTTCTGTAATTCTAGTTCATGTACTTCCTTTGTGGGATATTCACAAAAATGCAATCTGGTATTCTGAAGAAGCTAAGAATACTGACTAGAAAGGAAACAGTTTGCCATATAATACAGTTCTGAGAGGAAACAGTCAGTAGGCTGAAATCCTGAGGCTCCAACTATGCAGCACAGATTTTGAGATTCCTCTGATGTACAAAGGTGTCAGAATTCCACATGGCCTTATCAGTGAAGGAAAGAGGTAATCAGGATTGAAACTGATGTAATTTCATAATTTCTTCAGAGCGTCCAAGTTGTAACATACTTCTCATTCAGCTTCCAATTCAGAAGCGATTCTAGCCAAGTGGAAGCAGTCAGAAAGCCACAATGACCTTTCAGTACCTTCAGTGCCAGCCTGCGATTAGAGGATACGAGAGAGAAAAGACACCCGAAAAACTTCCCATTCCTGGGAAGTAACATAATATACATGTACAAGTTACTAAGTCACCCTTAGCAGCCTCCGTAGTCTAGAGGTAACGTTCCCACCTCATGACTCGTAGTACGCAGGTTCAAATACCCGGCGGAGGTCGTCAAATTTTTAAGGGCGGAAAAATTCAGGGAACAAGTCCTCCGGGAGGGACTTTAAGCCATGGGTCCCGTGTCGTAGCTTTACGGCACGTAAAAGAAACTCATATCTCCAAAGGAGGTCACTGAGCCAAATTAATGGACGTTTCCGCCCAACAGCAGTCTCTAATACCTCTGGTAGATGGGGGAAGCATTATAGATACCTCTCAGCTAGTAGAGCCGGTCTCGCTGGCTGGGCGGGACTGATGGTAAGCACCAGTACCGGTAGGATATAGAGACTGGTAGAAATCATAGAGGGAAGCACAATGGACCAATACAGGTCTAAGTGCATGGGGAAAACCCACCCTCTCCAATAACTAACTAACTACTAAGTCACCCTTGGGAACCTTCACTTCCAAGTTTTTTGTAAACATGCACACACATGAATTGGAAGATGTGTAACTATGGAGATAGAAAGATTTCATATTACTAGTGCTGAAATTTATAATTCAGCAGGATTTATGATCAATTTTAAAATAACCCTAGAAGAAAAACAGCCTATTCTCTCTGCAATATCTGGCACATCAATGACAAAAGTGTTGCCTAATAGTTATACCTATTATTTCTCTCTCTTATCATATTCGCAGCTGGTCACTTTCTGGTCAATTGAGCTTTGTAGACCATTCAGTGCCAGATATCACAGCTCTTACCGTAACACTTCATATCCAGAAGTAAATACCAATGCTATATAGATAATCATGATAATCATAAAAATGGATCCAGCAAACCTGCGACACACTGTTACAGCTGTACCGCCAATGCAATTCGAGCATATTAGAGAGATAATAGTGGTTCAATTGGTATTTCATAAACAACAGAACACTAACTCAATGAGCTCAGCCCTTCTTGAGAAGATGCCAATTGTGCAGCCACTCAAGAACTTCCCAGCATTTTATGGAAGCCCAACATTCATTACCATATTCACAAGAGCCCTCCACTGGTCCCTATGCTGAGCCAGACCCATCCGGCCCATACCATCCGATCCTACCTCTCTACGATCCATTTCAATATTGTCCATCCACCTACATCTTGGCATTCCTTGTGGCCTCTTTCCCTCTAGCCTTCCCATCAATATTCTCTATGCATTCCTCTTTGCCCCCATTCGTGCTACATGCCATGCCCATCTCATCTTCCTTGACTTGATCATTCTAATTATACCTGGTGAAGACTACAAGTTGTGAAGCGCCTCACTATGTAGTTTTCTCCAGCCTCCCATCACTTTATCTCTCTTCAGTCCAAATTTTCTCCTCAACACCCTCAGCCTGTATTCCTTCTTTAATGTCAAAGACCAACTTTTGCACCCATACAGAACCACAGGCAAAATTATTGTTTCATATATTCTAATTTTATGTTTTTAGACAGCAGATGAGAAGACAAAAGGTTCTGGACTGAATGGTAGCAAGCATTACCAGAGTTCAATGTCCTCTTAATTTCCTCCTGTATCGGGTTCTGATTTGTTAGTCGTTTGCAAATTTCTGAGCTGTGCCACATTTTCAGAACTTCTGTTAGCTATCTTCATGTCACGATTTCGCCATGAATTCTGGTGATGAAACAGTAACACATACTTATTTTTCTGTGTTTACTTCTAGATTACCCTCCTTACTAGCATTAATTAAAGTTCGTGTGTTTTTCTCTTTATGGTATCTATATTATCACTCATCACATCAACAACATAGACCAAAAGCTGATGTGTCCCATTTAATTTCAGTCCTACCTGGATTTCGTGGACCTTCTTAATGGCATATTCTAAAGCAAGGCTGAACTCAGTGACAATAAAGCATCTCCCTGTTAGAAAACATATCTTCTTCTTCTTCTTCTGCAGGCACAAAAGTTCATAACAAACCTTGGCATCTTTTACAAATGCTTATCATCGGTCCCAATCCTGCGACTTTAGTCTCTTATTTGTAACACACATTGTCTTCTAATTTTCTTCAACTGAATCTCTCTCACTGAAGGCTACTTTATTTTCTGAAATGTGTCTCTAATTATTCATGTCTTCTGATAAAGTGGCAGCCCATGATTCCCAATTTGGACTGCAATTTTAATAACGTGTGTATATGCAATTTGTACCATTCTGTTAATCCAGAGTAGCACTATTATAAACACTATGGTAAAGGACATAGGGAAGATAATACATTCTTTATAAACTGCTGCAAAATATATATATGATGGGAAGTCATAATGTTTTAATTAGCACCATGAGAAAATTATAATTCCAAAATATTGTTCTATTTAGGGCTTGCCGAACAGTCAAATTTTCCCATGGCAAGTGGACAGAGGGAGCCACCAGAAGGAGCAGAAGCAAAATGGTGAAATCTGTTGAGAAAGTGAAGGCTCATGCTGTGATACGGTTCCTGCATTTGCAAGGGAAGTCTGCCAGGGAGCTCCACGACCAGATGACCGCTGTGCATCAGGAAGGTGTACCATCATATGACACAGTGGTCAGGTGGAAGAGGCACTTTCATTGTGGACAAACCTCGAAGATGAACCCTGAAGCGGAAGACCATCTCTCGCTGAGGAACGAGGAATTGTGGCATAGGTGGAATCTTTTTTCCTATCCGAAAGGCACATAACTATTGAAGCTATTGTTCATGAGGTCTGCATTAGCCATGGGCTAGTTCTCAGCACCATCCATGATGAGTTACATATGACAAGGATCACTGCATGTTGGGTGCCATGATTATTTACACCAGTTCAAAAACAGCAACGGATGGAAGTGGCAAAGAAATTTTGCAGTTCTGTAAGGATGAAAAGATGGAATTTTTCAACTGCCTGATCATGATGGATGAATGTTGGGTCTATCATTATGACCCTGAAGCAAAATAAATGAGCAATCAGTGGAAACATGCAAACTTGCTGCCACCAAAGAAGGCCAAATCCCAGCTGTTGTCAGGAAAGGTGATGTTGGCGTGTTCTGGGATCGTTAGGGTGTCATTAGGGTGTCATCATGACCGACTACACACAAAAGGGTGTCACCATCACTGGCGAGCACTATCGGAACCTTCTGAGAAAATTATGGGAAGAAATCAAGAAAAGCGACGCGGAATGCTGGGAAAAGGTGTGCGACTTCTTCACTACAATGCACAGGCTCACGATACGATGACACTTGCTGCCAGTTTGGAATATGAAATTCTCCCCTATCCACCATATTTACCAGACCTGGCACCGAGCAACTTCTTCCTCTTTCCACGGCTAAAGAAGCCACTTCGTGGTAAGCGATTCCAAGACGACGATGTCATCTCTGCAGTGCAGACTTCCTAAGCAGTCAAAATGAGACCTTCTATTATCAAGGTATCCAGCAGCTAATGCATCATTGGGGAAAATGTATGGCCTTGCAGGGGGCATATGTAGAGAACGACTAACTCACATACAATTTCTTGCACCTGTGTGTCTGTTTCTTATTGGTGATAATTAAAATTTTATGACTTCCCATGTACTTATATCTGGAAGCACAGTGGTAGAAGTAAAAAATCTTAAGAACATATTTCTAACAGTTTCTATCTAAATGGACTTACCTCATGCTGACATATAGGAAACTTCTTTGTAACAAGCTTTGCACAGCCACCACATATGGCAGAACAGATTCTGCGGCAAGGATGTCCACAGACCATTATTCTTTCACATTTTTTTCCGCACAAAAATGTTATTGGGTCTTGGCTACAGGGCATCTCAACTTTGTGTCCACAAGCTGACAATTCCTTCTTCACCTTCATTAAACATGTGCCGCATTCTTCATAGCACATTTTTGTGCATGCATGGTTCTTGCTACAGCCTGCATTTGTACGTGGACATGGCTGATAACACTTATACTGTAAATAAAAGCGACAACAGTGATAATTCAATCAAGGATGAGTGAGGCATGCCCCGGCNTTGCTGTTGCGTAACTTGGAAACCGACTGTTTATCAACAGTCTGTCTTCGCAATAACTCATTCCACATCCCGTTGCCCAACAACGGTTTGACATGTCACAATATTATGAAAGTGAGGAAAGAAACACAGCATACTAAATGCAGAATGGAGACGAAAGAATAAAATTAAATTGATTTCTTAACCTACAGAGTAACATGTTCATGATCACTGGGGTTCGTGTTCCTGTTCACAACAGGTGATTGTACAGTAGTAGTATTACAGAACTCATTTACTAACATCATCCTACAAGATACTTCCTAAGTGGTGACACTCTTCCAGTATGTTCTATCAACAGGAGATGTAGTTGCAATCATAGTACGACTTATCTAATGGCATCTGCTACTTACAGGACTTGAAATCCAAAGTGATTAAAGGTACAGTTCACAGCTAATATTCAAACCCACATGCTCAGAAATGATTAACTTCCTGAATAATCAACTGCTTAACAAAATGCAAAGAACATGGATAACACTTTCTTCGAACAAACATGCACACAAGCATACACCAATGACTCACTCACTCACTCACTCACTCACTCTCTTTCCCTGAAGCTGGACCTCTCATTCCCTCTTATGAAAGATGTAGTTTTACTGAACTATAATTCTTACATCCAAATGATCTGGATCATCTTCAACATGGCATTTACGTCTGCATGTGTGTCCACAGTCATCAAGTCTGGCAGAACACTGAATCTTGCAAATTGATTCTGCTGGATCTTTGAAACATGGAAGTGATATCTTATGTTTGCAAGCTGGCAATTCCTTTTCAACTAGAACCTGCAAAATACATCAGTAACAGAATTTATAAAAATAATGGAACACAAAATTCTTGATCATGTTACACAGGTGTAATTCATATGTAAGCCATTTATCTTGGTCTGCAGCCAAAGTTTATGTGATGAGTATATTATAGAGGTTCATAACATAAGAGAATTTATTTATATGTTCATAAATTAACCGTTAATTCAGAGCTCATAGGTTACATTTGTCTACATGAACATAGCTGGAATTCTTTATAATGAACAATATGCAGAAGAATTTATCAGAGAATTGTAGATTTATTCTTCTAGCACCTGCCAGCCCTATCTCAGATTTAAAAACTAACATATTTTCGGGCAAGAAGGCATCTAAGTCATTTCCGGTACTACCAATTGTTAGCAATAGACTGAAGTTTAAACCGATAAAGAAAAGGTTGAAATACATGTATCCTACACGACTTCCGCAGGAGATTCAATGTTAACCTCCAAATTTATATCAAATAATCAGTCAGCTATCAGTAATTCATTCTGACCTTCCCACATGAGGCCTGCTCAAAAATTATTAAGACTAACCTGGGAAAATTAACACATCATCATTACAGAATTGAATTCAGCACCTCTCACTAAAACCTGTTCCATTGTGTTTCCACATCAAATCTTTTGGCTTTTAGTCCATTACCATGCAGTACCAAGCACTGCACAATACTTAGTTGCTATTGGCTGCTATGGAGTGCCACCCACTGCATATGATTGTTCATGCTTTGTACTTCATCTCATGAGTAGTATTTGAACCACATTAACACTGTTTGAACCTAATTCGAGATAAAGGCTTTTGTTTGGTGTATCTACTAGATTTATAGATTTTTCTTGGTTATATTGATTGTAAACCAGCTGTCTGTACACATTCCACCAGCTACTAAACGTTTATCAAATTCAAATACTGAAGGCATTTCCAGTGAATGTTACACTGTAAGTTTGATTCTCATGCTGAAGAATACTTCAGCATGCTTCACTGAAAACTCCTGCCATGCTGTGTTTGAAGCTGGGATTTAAATCTTCCCACAATTCAGGGTTAAAGTATTTTGTAATTTATTTAACAATGCTGTCAGTATTTCAAAACTATAACTGTCAAATGATTATATAGTAAATAATGAATCAGAAAAGATGTGGAATTCAGTCTTTATTAGTTTTTATTGTGTTTTGTATGAGTCAAATAAAGGAAGTATAACAGTTACTACACAACACATGATATTACTAGAGAAGTGTATTTTAGCACACAGAGAAGTCCAAACAAGGCATAAAAGGCTCTGTGGTTCATTTTATATTAGATATTTAAAACCCTATGTTAAGTATACCCTGAGCTTGTTTCCTACAAACCACCACCAAATTCTTTGCAACTACACCCATCATTAAGCATCTAGAAAATATTAGTATATTACATTCCATCTCAAAGGAGAAAACATAAGGTTAATGTAATGATGTTTCAGTACCTGACACTTATATTCCTCATAGTCAATATGGCACTCGAGCTCTATTTCATGCCCGCAAGGTAGACATCTCAGCACTGGTGTCATGCATGGGCCACATTCTTCAAAACACAGTTTTTTACACTTGTGTCCCAGAACACACAACTCTCTGTCACACGGCTGTGCACGGCACCTGAAATTAAACACATGTCACTACTGCAGAATTTGAGGTTTTCGTGGTGACAGAGATTCATATTGTGGTCTTTTGGATTGTCACAATGTTGCAATTTGGTAAGTGGGGTACCCAGCTTCAGAGTACAATACAGTGTCAAAACTCAGATGATCACAATATCGGTATGACTTTATGTACAGAATTACTGAATTCTGTAAACATTTTTCCAATCAAACAAAGAATAAATGGCCTAATGTACCAAGAAAGTTCAGCTCCCAAACTCCCAAACTGTGAAAACTTTTCAATCAAAATGGTCATAATGAATACATGTAGAAGAATTCACTAAAGTAAAGTATATAAACACTCCCATATCAAATGTATTGCAAAAACTGACTTGTTTTACAGATTTATAACTCTGAATGCATGATGGGTAATCATATTCCCTGATCAGGTTACCTGACAATATGGTAAATCTACCTAGCGATGAGCCTTTTAAAATTATGTACTCCATTTAATGGTAACATATACAAACATGACAGGTGAGTATATACACATGAAGAACATCTTATTAGCGACTTGCAACAATCTATAAATATGTACTGAAATGTAGTATATAAATATGGGTCCGATCAGTGTGGAGGGAATTCAACCGATATAATCACAAAGTCAAAGCCTTTATAGTGAAAAGAATTTTTGGAAATGCTTGCATTACTGTACAAATAAAATATAGCAACAAGTTTTATTTTCATACACAAACATTAAGAGGCTAAAAAACAGTCTCTTGCAAAAAGGGAAAAGTTAAATATGGCACATGAAGTCCAGAAAAAGAAACACTGTGCTGGGCCTTTATGTGTTAACGGGAAACATTTTCCTCATGTAGCACAGAATAGCAAGGTGTAGAAAGGCAAGCACTATGGTAAGCACCCAGCGGCCTCCGTAGTCTAGGGGTAACGTTCCCACCTCATGACTCAAGGTACGCTGGTTCAAACCTGGCAGAGGTCGTGGAATTTTTAAGAGTGGAAAAATTCAGGGAACAAGTCCTCCGGGAGGGACTTCAAGCTGTGGGTCCCGTGTTGTAGATTTACGGCACGTAAAATAACCTCATGTCTCTAGGAGACCTCTGAGCAAAATTTGGCCAAAAGTGTCCCACCCAAAAGAGTTTCCAATGCCTCCGGTAGATAGGGGAAGTATTAGGTACCACTGCCAGAGGAGGGGGGAACTCCCTGACAGAAAGGGACTAACTATTAGATACCACTGCCAGTAGAAGGTTGGAACCTCGCTGGCAGAAAGTGGCTGATAGTAAGCAGCAGTACCAGTAGGGTATGGAGACGGTAGAAATTAAAAGGAGGATGCACAATAGATCAATACTGGTCGCGGTGCATGGGGAAACCCACCCCCTCAATACTGAATAACTGAATGGTAAGCACCCAATGTGGTTTTCTTGTGTCGCAAGACAAGAAGCAAGTGACTAAGGTATCTACATGGCACACAGATGAAATGTGGATAGCTATCAAGAGACTACTCACTGCAGCAATACATAATGCAATGATCATGTATTGTCCACTCCAAAATAACAAAAAAAAAGATTCACTAATATTCGGGCTTTTATTTGCATAAAGTCTCATGAAGAACCATGGTTGTGGTGTACCCCGTTTCATTAAAACAGTTACATTATAAAATATTTTATAATGTAACTGTTTTAATGATAACGGCTTGCCAGTGTGTGTGGAATGGCAAGGCGTGAATTGACAGTGGTTTTTCCACGACCTATGTGTGTTGTCCTGACAACCTGAGCTATCTGTGAGAAGCCTGATTATATATTTTATTGGACAAAGGACGAATGATGTGTAGTCATCATGAATTTGTAATATGCGTCATGTTTTATATCCAGCCCTACGGGGAGATGATTGGATCCATGAAGTGAAAATAAATGTAAATGTAAGCACAATTTGGATAATTGTACATTATGCACATTTAATTTACTCTTCAGGCAAATTCTAGGGTATCAATATTATGTCCCCAAGAAATGAGTCTGTCTTTAAACTAAAGTACCAATATGTGCTTACAATCTGAACTGTGACCTTACTTGTATTCTTTATGTTCTCTATCCTTGGGATGACATACTGCCTGACAGTTGTGTCCACAATTCAGAGGTGTATCACAGAGGAGCCCACAACCCCCCTCTGGAACTGCTTCAAAATCTTCAGCCTTTGACACTATTCTTCTCTGCTCAGGGTGAACCTATCAAGGACATTGTTAACTGATTATATTATTGTAATTTCAAACATAAGTACCTTTGTTAATTAGATGTGAAATAAGTCTGAAAATTGTATTCATAAGCTTAAGTTTCAAGATCAACTTCAACTTCAGGAGAATTTTCAATGGCGCGGAAGGTAAGAATGCTTCTACAAAAATTACAAAATATTTAATAATACATTACAATATGACAAGAAATACTTTAAGATTGTTAAGTTATTACTCCCTTTATGATGAATAAACATATTCATAAATTTGTACAGTGGCTGCACAGTTGAGAACTACTTTTCATTTTATTCTAAGCTAAATGAGAACACATACAAGCAGGTATTAATATTAAGCAGAATAAAACAGAAAGGTTACAGGTTTAAAAACTACAGAAAAGTTATAAGTACCATCCCTGTGCATATATGTAGATATACAGTGCGTACAATCAAGTGCGCGCCGCGGCTGCAATTTGCCGTGAGTCATACCACTGCAGAACGGATGAAGTCACGGGGAGGAGTTGCAACACTCCCCGCGACTGCATCCGTTCTGCGGTGGTATGACTCACGGCAAATTGCAGCCGCGGCGCGCACTTGATCGTATGCACTGTACTTGCAAGTACTTAGCCTGGCTTCTCTTTTGTACCTATGATGCATGAAACTTACCTTGCATCTGAGCTCAAGATGTTGTCCAATGGAGTCCTGAGCAATGAGCACCTCTTTGATTTTGGGCCATATCTCACTACTCTCAACCAAATTCTCCATGTTGCCCATGATATACATCCCTTTTCTAGCCCGTGAGAGGGCAACACACACTCTGTTCTCAATTTTGAGAAATCCAATATTGGCATTTTCATTGCTGCGTACCAGAGAGAGTAGAATTATATCACTCTCTTCTCCTTGGAAGTTATCTACAACTGTGATACGAACGTTCCGCAGCAGTTCATACTTCTTGCTTGCCTAGAATTCAAACCTACTGTTCTAAACAACATAACAATAAACAAATTCCACAACCTTCATTCAACAGTAACGCCATGTGAATACACATTTTCATTAACCTCTTATGCTCTCAGTAAAGAGCATATTATGCTGGAATAGACATTTTCAATTATCTGCCATTTGATCTCCAGTCTTAGAAATGAAAAGGCAAGATTTAAAATTGCACTAAAATGACACTTAAAAACACATACTCATTCTACTCTGCTGATGAATATTTACTGTCCAATAAATTATCTATTTAAATGTTTTCTTTGGTTTTCTCATGTGAAAACTTCAGTTGTATTGCATATGTTTTATTTAGTATTTATATGACATCTTCCACATCCTACAGTCATTTTGACTAACTTTGGATCCAGGGAATACAATGAAATGTAATGCAATGAAGCATAAAAGGTTAAGAACGACAGATAACGATGTAAAGATTGAACAGACTTTTTTTTTTAAACAATGAACTCCATGACACAGAGTACTTCTTGAAATCCTAATAGTTGCTCAGCTTATCAAGAAATTTTGTATGGAACCCAAAGGTTCTTTACTGAGTTCACAAGAGCCTGCCATTGGTCCGTGTTGTGATTCAGATAAATTCAGTTCACACCTTCCCATCCTCTTTACTGAAGATCAAGATTAATATTATCATCATATCAGTGCTTAGTCTTCCCTTGAGGTTTTCTAACCAAATCTGAAAATACAACAAGGGTTTTCTTCCGGTGGATAGTAATGTATTAAGGGTTCCACATTTAATATTCAAAAACAGATACTGGAACCGAATTGTAGGAGTATATGTCTGTTAACAAGTGCCCTCTTAAAATGTCACTACACCGAAAATGGTGACTGGGTGTTAAAAGACCCAAGATAGTGGGTGTGTCCTACAACCAAATTTGAGGACGGCAAGAGATCCACTTTCTGAAACAGTGTGTTCTTTTATATTTAAAATACTGGATGATGGACATGCCCAAGAACCCAGATATCCTAAGTGTTACACTGTAACCGTTCATTCTAATTGGTGGACTATTTGTTTTAATTAAAGCTATATTAAGTTAAGATTACAAAAATACAAACAAAGAGATCCAGCAGATAGCCAACTCTTACACGCAGAAGGGATATAGTTCAAGTTTTGCTATATGGACAGGAAGTAACATCTGGTACTTTCCTGGAATTCTGGCAGTTTCAGCAAAGTCAGAAAGTGTTTGAGAATTTGAGAGCTGACAGCTCGGAACAGTGATAACTTAGAAGTGGGATGGCCGGAGCCTCATCCCATGGTCGTAATGCTTCAAGGGGCTGTCAACCTTAGCGTCAGGTCAGCATCTGCCAGAATCACATAGCAAAGCAAAATGATTTGAAATTCAAAATTTAGGGAACCTCCTAGTTTGAAAACTTAAACCAATGGCAAAAGTGGAGGAGTGGATTTCTCCTGGAGTCTGGGGTTCGTGGACCTCAGGGTTCACAGAGAGTGCATTCCACCTCGAGGAGTCTTCATCCAACTCTCGGCAAAGTCGGACACAAAATTACAACTATGTCCCTTCCATAAAAGTATTATAAGTAAAGTTCTAAATTAGTGTTACTAATAGATTCATTAGTATTCAGTAAGCTGGAGGGAATTAAAATGATTACTAAGTGCAACGGTCTAAAGAGGTGTGTGTTATTGTAGTGAAAGATTCTTCCTGCCCTACCCGAGCCAGACCCGTATAAGACCCGGGATATGAACTCAGCTCTANCTTCCTGCCCTGCCTGAGCCAGACCCGGGATATGAACTCAGCTCTACCAATTACTGAACAGAACCCAGATACTCCCTTACCTACTCGCGAGACACCTAAGGGTGTACAGGAACCACAATTCTCCTCCCTTCCCACCTAACTTCTCGACATCCACGAGAAGAGGGAGGACGGTGATAAGTGGAGCACAACGTGGGATCAAGGGGGGACGGTGATAAGGGCAACCAACGTAAGGGCACAACGAAGTGAGCGGTTAGAGAAAAGGTGGCGACCAACATGTGAAGCTTGAAGCCTCAACGACAAAAAGCAGTTAAAACACACCATCATCAGAAACCTTAGGACCTACTGAAAATAGTCATATAATAGGCCTTTCAACACAATAATAAAAACCTTACCGTCAAATTTCAGTACTCTGCACTTTGAAAATTACCTGTCTGTCCTTATGTCAGAAATGACATGATATTAATGATATTAACATTTAAAATCATCAGAAGTCATCTGAATTTACTCACTTTTTTCATGTAAAACATTTGGCCAGTGTATGTAGCCAGGACTGTAATGGTGTCTGGTTCATAACCCTGCAGTATCAGGTGGCGGCACAGAGCTAGTATGAAATCTGCTTCATGCACATTTTTATGGCTGAAACTATCTGCAACCTAAAGAAGAGCATAATTTAATCTTGTTAATATGAAGCTGAACTATGAATATCGGATTGTCATACTTTGAAAACCAGAATATTTAAGGGGCATTACAACAGAATAAGTCCTCCCACGTACCAAAACTTATAGTATGTGAAGTTATGTATAGATGAAAGCAACAGGTTTCTTAAAACATTTGCACCCTACCAAACCACACAGCATCACATTCAAAATGACTTTCATCTTACCTACATTATGGCTTAAAGGGACTCTTGAAATCATTCTCATCTTGCCACTTTATGGAGATGCTTTTCTACATGTTCTGAGTGTTGAACAGCCACTTAGTCAAGAAATACACAGTTATATGAAATCAAGTTCATTACCTCCACTTAAAACAACGTTGGGGTTACACTGCTCGCTTTTTATTCTTATGAGATACCAACCACCTCAAAGGAGATATACACTTATGTGAACAAAACAGATATGCATAAAAACACATTTCCTGATTTTTTCTTTGGCATTCATATATACACATAGTTAAAAATAAATAAATAAAGGTATCCCTGTAACAGGTCGTGGAGGCCCACAGGGTTGTGAGTTGTTGAGGTCCCCACATTTTCTAGAAAATCGGCTCATAGATGGTGGTAAGGTTGTCAGCCTTACGCGTCGGCAGCCCTTTACCCACAAGAATATTCCTGGTATTCATTTCTGTTAGAGGCTGAGTCGACCCCAGGGCCATAGTGCAGCTGGAAGGATTAGACATTTTGAAAAAATCCAATGACTTCACCGAAATTCAATCCCGTGACCTTCTGGCCTGTAGCATAGTGCCTCAACCAACTACACTACCACGTGCCCCATATACACATAGCACAAATCCTATTACAATAATATTTTTTTTAAGTCACAATATTGGTGGACAGCTTGATCAAGTCACTGGCATGGGGTATCTCCTTGTATATTGTCTGTATACAATATGTGTGCACATCATAATATACAAAGCAATTCCTACTCACAATTTAATCACTCGTGAACTCTAACCAAAAACGTTAAAGTAGAATTGTTCATCCAGTCTTCTTTCTAATATAAAGGTATTAACACTGCACTTGAAGATATAACATGTGCAGCACATTAAAATTTCATGACAGGGTGTATTACATACACTTGTGTGTTTGACAAGTACACATTAATATTTCAATAAATTAATAGTATTTTAATTTTTATTTCTTAAAAATTAGGTTTGTGGCTTAATCAAGTGTACAGGATATATTAATGTAGTAATTCTGATGCCCTTCACTAAAACTTGCAAACCGAATTCATTTACGACAACTGGGAAAAAATGTATACTAACAACATTGCTATGGCAACGAATTTTATTAGAATTGATAGGTTTCTCACCTGTTCATCAGGGAAGCTGTGATGAATGAAGAACAAACTCTTGGAAACACCATGTATTTCTTCAAACACTGTCACAGTTCTGTGATTCAGCAATTCTGGATATATTGCTGGTACAATCAGTCGGGCAATCTCTGGTCTCATGCGGTGCTGTACTTTGAGCACTTCACAGTGCATTTCATTGTTAAGCATTCGCTCGAACAGTGATACATCTAGGTTATACTCTTTAGCCAGTCTGTACACAGATGTGGAAGGTCGAAGTTGCTGATGGTCACCTGTAGGCAGTAATATACCCTACTGCAAAGGCTCTCAAACTTTTTATTGTGTTTGGTACCTCCTGAAAGTTAACACAAATGTCTCGTCCTCACAGAAAAGAAACTTAAAAAATGTTCAACTTAATTTTTAATGCTCTTTTGATATAAATGAACAATGGTCCTTATCATGTCAGATATACAAAGCTTATTCCAAAGCCATTAAAAATAAAAATATCCATAATTTCCAGTAAGAATGCTGGAAGTGTGGGCTTACGATTCACCTTGCTATCTCTTTTAGTACTCCTAGCAATAACAGTAACAGTTTGAGAAACACTGTCCTACTGTAATACACAGACACAGACACTGTGGTAAATAGATAGAAAACGATCGATTCTTCTAAATCTGGCAAGAATCCAGATTCACAGAGGAAGAATTCTTCTTTGACCCTTATCAGATAATATAAGCATGCACACATATATACCTACCTAAGTTACAACACACTCATGAAATATTCTTCACATGCAAATTTAATTAAATACAGTTTGACCTCATTAATTTGGACTAATTGGGTGCGAACCCTGCTCAAATTAGGGAAGTCTGAATTATAGAAAAGCTACTGAAAATATATTCAGTGAAGTTATAAAATTGATATTATGTGTCTTTGTAGGCAATACAAATTTATTTTAAAACTCTGATTGAAGATCATAAAAAATTTACTAGTCATAAAATGTAAAAATATGTTTTGAAATCAGTCTTAAAAATATTTTAGGCAGCCTAGATACTTAGTATTACTAAGACTGTGTTTAAAAAATTAACTTACTAAATATTGCTGATCACGTCAATGTGATCATCAAGGTCATATTGCAAAAAACAAATTACCGTGAATTTCAAATCAGTGAGGTTTCACTGTAACTGAATTCATACCTATAAGTATGAGATGCTGGCAATGGCTTGTGAGAGAGACAATTATATGGGATTCCAACACCTCAGCAGCTTCTTCAATGATCACTACAAGAAAGCATACAGCAAGTTAAATACCAGTACTTATGCTACATATATAGGTTTATACTATAAATACCATCAACAACTCCATGTCATCAAAATAACAAAAATAGATTCCCTCATGTAATTAAAATCATTTAGTTATAAATTTTCTGCTGTGTTGTTCTATAAAAGACATATCTGATGTAACTGCCCACCTATTCTTGGTTTCAGAACTTGCAGCAATGTTCGTAGCCTTGCTGCACCAGTTGTTGTCATACCAACAACATACGAGTCCCTCATGACTTCCAAATCAATCATATGACGTACTTCTTCATATTGTTTTGCTTCAGTCCTGAATCTTTCTTCCTGAGTTTGAAATTTTTCAAGCAGCTGTGTTCTCAACTGCGCTATCCAGTGCCTATGAAAATATTTATGGTTAATTTAATCATATCATCAATAACTCAAGACTATACAGTGTCAAATGATTGTAAACTAATAAACAATGACTTGAAAAGGAAGTGGAAGGAAGCGCTTATGGCCCCGTTTTAAGGTAAGAGTGGAACTTGCCTGCAAGCACTGAGCCCCCCCCCCCAAACNTAGGACAGTTGATGTCCATAAACTGGGCCCCTCTCAACATCAGTAAAAAACATTATACTGTTTGCACTACTTTACTCAATGCATACAGAAATAAAACACATACAATATTAAAATAAAATTAGTTTCTTTAATCAGTTACTAAATGTATTATTTCTGATTAAAATTAATAAAATTAAAATGACCTTAGAATCTGAATGGATAAAGATGCATGGTGTGCATATCAATTTGTTACATTACGCGATATTGTATCCTGTAGCAAAGTTACAGAGATGAAGCAACTTGTGCTAAGAGTTCTTTAATTAAGGTGTTAAATTATGTCCAAGTATTCACGTCAAAATATCTAAATATTTTAACATACCTTCTCCAACGCAAAAAAAAAACACACACACACACGGACGAACACAAACACTGCACAACAAACAATAATGCACTTGCTTAAAACTGAGAAAATAAACATTTCTTACCAGTATAATGCCCATCGGTCATTGAAGTTCAGTCTCCATACATCTCTTTGTTGCAGTAGTTTTTGAATTTCAGTTTGATTTGGAGTCCTCTTCTCTTTCAAACGCTGTTTCAATCGTTCAAGTTTATGAACTGCATCTGAGAGTCGTCCCTCACAAAGCCACATATTTGAATGAAGTACCTGATAGTTGTTCCTTCCTTCTTCAATCAACGCAGTCCTCTCTTTTTCCAATTCTCTTTTCTTTTGCATCAGCATTCCCAGACTATCAGCATATGTAAGTATTCCTTGGACATCTTTCATATCAAGATCGTAACCTTCATGCATATCCCGGGTAGCTCTACCAGTGACTTCTTCAATGACATCTACTTCCTCATTAACAATATTATTCTCATCACTTGCCATGTTATAATCATGTGTGACATGGATAATGAAATTAGGATCATTGTACTCTTTCTGTGAAAGCAGCCATTCTACAAATACCTACAATAGAAAATATAATTCTGGATATATACTATTTACCAAAATATAAGATTTCAGAAAACCTGAAGGGAAGACCAAAATATTACAGCTGATTTTAAACACAATATGAAAATGCGGATCGCTTAATCTTGTTTAGGAAAAGGACCAGTGGCAGCCTCTTGTGGACATGGAATGATCTCTGGGTAACATATAAAAGGATCGATTGTTTTTGAGCTGCTGCATGACTATTAGCTTCTCAAGGGTCATTCTACTTCATGTTAGTTCTTATATACACATATATAATTATTTACCCTTCACTTTTAAATTATTCATGTGTCTGTCTCCTTTCCAACAATGAATGGACATAGACTGTCATTATGACACTTGAGTCCACGCACCTTTGTACTTTCTAACCATTAATATTATTGTTATGTGTTATTGAACAAACACAGGGATTTGATCAGTAATTGATTTTACTAAACCCTTATAAACTGTAACTATTTTACAGGTATATCTCTCCCTCTAATTCCCACACTCTGCTTCTTACTACAGCACTCACTAAGTCAGAGTCCAAGTCTCGTTACGACCAATGGTTTGTCAGCCAATCAGTCTTGGTATCAAACCCCAGATTTACTGTCAGACAGCTGTGGCTTTGTTAATATGGGTCAGCCTATCTGAAGAGAGGTCGGGTCTGTCATTTACTGCAGTCATAGCCAATAGTACGTCACCTACATTTACAAATTTACACATCAGCATTCTACATGGTCAGTTGTCAAGAGTCTGGTTCCTTGTGGATACCTACTATTTACAGTTTTACATGAACTCTAGTACATATGTATGTAAAATACATATAACACCTCTGTCAGTCTAGGCTTGACAGAGCAGATCATTCCCTAACTCATGTAGCTCATGTTACAATGGTACGCATGACAAAAATAACGGGTTCTAGATGAGATGATCGGATTTATTCCCAGTTTGGTTACAATCTCTCTTAATCACAATCAATACAGTGCTGTTGGCGATTTACATGATGGTGACAGGATGAAACCTAGGACCTTATGAATACTAATAATAAATCTACCATAAAGTAAGGCCCAAGGTCAATATGTGAATGTGCCCTAAAATATTATGAAATAAACTTAAAACCCTACTTAAAAGCTTTCAACTGGACAATAACATGCTCCTTGTCCTAACTAGGATCAGAGTTTTAAGCATTCCGGTGAATGAGGGTGTAGGAGTTATGGAAAACTTGGCTTTAAAATGCAAGGACTTTGAAATTAATTGACATTTAAAGCAAAAACTTCATTTATCACTTGCTTATCAGTCCCTGGAGGCTTACACAATATCATTTAAATCCCAGATGGCCATGTCAACCTTTGTGTTGATATTTCATGAATGAGCTTGTAAATAAGCTGAACCCTAAGTAAATACTATTTATATGGTCAAGCAAACAACAAATGCCATACCTCTTCCGTATCTTGACCTCTGAAGGAATTGTAGTAATCGGAGTTAACCACACGCAGTGAGTACAAGGCATCTAGTGAAATGATGCCATCATTCTTTTCCAACAATTCCAGATCTATCTGAATCCTTTTGATACCCTTCATCATGTGATTCATTCTAGCATGAATATCCCTTCCAAGATTATTAGCGTTTTTCATATGTGTGAAAATTTCTTCTTCATCCACATTATCAGCATTTCTGTAAAATAAAAGTCTGCAGACTACAAAACATTAACTCAAGAGATGTGTCCACTTTTCAAAAAGTAAAACCACTCACCCACTTCTAAAATTTACAATGCCAGTTTGTATAATTATTAACCATGTCACCATTTTAAATTCTTTGGATATCAACAAAGAGGTGGGGGGGGGGCTAATCCCAGAACTGATAAAATGGAAGGGATGTTTCACTGCTCAAACCATACACACTTCCAGCAATGAAAAAATAACTGAAAAATATTTTAAGCTAAAATTGAATATATCATATTAACAGTTCATAATACATGCTATAATCAAGATTACTGAGTTTCTGGGCTTGTCCACTGTATAGTATTCTGTAAGAACACAACATTTTGGAAACTAGATCTGTTTCTGTCTTCCAGTGAGAGTGGGGAGGCATCTGCTTAGCTTGGTCTGTTAGAAAGAATTCATATCAAATCACTGGACAATGGAATTAGTCTCAATCATTTAATCCAGTGAGAGATTAGCTTTTTCTAATGCATGAATCTGAACAGGTGCCTCCCCACCCTTTTACCTCTCACTGCTATTTACTGCTAACATCTTCTAATCCTGTTCTGAACTACTACAATGATCATGATTCCTGCATCAAGACATACTCATGGTCCATCATAAGCCATATTGTATTACACATACTGTCAAAGGAACTCGGGGTGGAGGGTCTGTATTGCTTGGTGTATGCACATCGCTCATTTGACAAAAATATCTTCTGCACCCATGAATTTGCTAAAAATTTCCTTACAGATGATACACCTATAAAATGTAGTTGTCAAGTTCTCAAGAGAGCCCAGTTTGGTTCAATTCAGGCAGGTAATGAACTTGCTGATTTTTTTCAGACTTCAGTTCAGTACAAAGTAAAGTAAACAGGCAGCAGTATCACAGTCAGTGTAGACAGTCTGTCACTCTGTCAGCAAGTTAGTTGCTTAGTTACTTCTCAATTCAATGCAGTGTACAGAAGTCATGATAAGAGGCAAGTACAATAAGCAAGCTGCGATTTAATGAGAGAAAAGAGAACTAAGACCAAGAGCATAAGCAGCTATGGACACTGTAACATTAACTGCTCCACATATTGTATATCACAAAATGCACGCATACAGAGAGTGAAATTAAATTCACATGTAAGATCTCTAAAGCGTGATTCATTGTTTAAAACAATTGAAAATAGTTTACTGTGTATGTTGTGTGAAGTTTAGTATTCGAGCTATATGTCACCATCTAATGTCGAGAGTTATCACATGATTAAACTAAAGGTGCCTTGTAGTTACAATAGGTGTTCAAAGTGGCCTTCATCCATTTCAAGGCAGATGGCAGTGCACTGCAAAGAATTCTCTTGAACATGTCTTTACATATGTGTCATAAACTCCGTCCTAAGTGCAACAATTTATTGTAGTTCTTTTGTCTTGCTTTCTTCTACACTACATGTTTGAGCCGCAAACGGCCATCATCAGGTGTATACATTCACGTAGCTGTTACACTGCACTTAGTTTAAAATTTAAAAACACGAGTCTTCCCAATTGTTCTTTTCGTCTTAGCTATCAGGTTTTGATTTATCAGAATCTAATTCGCACACGTAGTAAAGATAAGCAGCAGCATCCACACAGTGAGCCTACACAGAATAACACCTAAATAGTGCTGAAAACAAGAAGTAGCCGCTACAGCACTATAGACATAGGGCGAGTAACCATGAGAATTTAAAGTTTAAAAATTTGAAAAAAGAAATTTTAAAGGAATTTTTAAAATTAGAACTGAAGACTTTACAAGTGCCAGTCCATAATAATCAAAATTAACGTGTGTAGGTAACAAAGCTAATGTACAAATCAGACAGATATCAGAGAAGTAAATCGAAACCTGATAGCTAAGACGAAAAGAACAATTGGGAAGACTTGTGTTTTTAAATTTTAAACTAAGTGCAGTGGAACAGCTACTGAGTGTATACACCTGATGATGGCCGTTTGCGGCCGAAACATGTAGTGTAGAAAAAAGCAAGACAAAAGAACTACAATATAGTGTTGCACTTAAGACGGAGTTTATGACATATATCGTATAAAGTGCAACAGGATGCTTAAATACAATATTATGCCTTTACATGTTGGCATCAACAACTGTCACAGCAGTTTGAAGTTTTGCTACATGATCTTCTATAGCCCTGGGATGGACTGTGTAAATGAGCTGCTTCGAGTATTCCCACAGGAATACATCCATCAAATTTAGATCCATCAACTGACAGGAGGGCATGCGAATGGCCCTCAACATCCAATCCACCTTCTTGGATATGTCACATTTGAGCTTCACTGTGCTGAAACCACCTCTGTCTCACAGCCACAAGTATATCTTCAAGCAGCCCCGTAAGAACAGTTTCCAGAAAGTCACGATACTGCTGAGCAATCAGACTTTAAGGTAGGAGATAGGGGCCCATAACAATGTCTCTGATAATTCTAGGCCAAACGGTGATGCTGAAGCCGACTTAATACACACATCTGCAGATATAGACTGAGGATTACCCATGCCCACAACCAACCCCTGCCGTGCACCGTGGTGTGCTTTAAGTACACATAACACACTATGTATCGTCAAGACAGAATACCAATGAGAAGTATGTTACCCCACGTGATGGTGACGTATTTCAGAAACTAAGCATCTAAGGACATATACTTTATAACGTTTCTGGGTTATTTTCTTAGTTATGAGTAACACTATGTACAGCTTGTATGTGAATTTTGTTTCACCCTCCATGTGGAATAAATGTGTTATCATACTTGTATATTAAATAATTAACTGCCTGGTATCAGAAGCTGAAAATACAGTACACAACAAAGTCACTGTACTGGCAGAACCATTTCCATCTCAACCCTTGACACGGTTCCATTTTAAGAAATTTTCTCAAGACAATTTTAGATACATTTGTTTCTTCCAACTGAGTTGTATGTCAATGCAAAATCAGGTCATATAAACCTCCTTATATTGGTCAGCCTTACAAGACAGTGAGGAGTATAAGGCACAAAGGTCTTCAGTACATAATTCCATTTATTACTTTAATCTCTTCTAGTAGGTCCAAATACAGTGTGTTCAACTGAGGCAGAAACATCTGTTTTTGAAAGCACAGCTGCAAATTATTGATTGCTCAAAGATGGAACAGTGCACAGGTTTTCCCCATATTTGGTGCTGACTCTCCTATATATCTCCAATTACACAGAATTTTACAACTGATCACTGTAAATAGGATACAATAATGTACTCTATTTCATACAAACTGCCAAAGTGACCTTGCCTGAATATCCTGAATTTCTTCTTCAGTTAGGATATTCCATTTTAATCGTCTCTTCTTGTCATACACTAGTGTGTAAACTGCCACTTTTTCACAAGCTTCAATATACACAATTTTATAGGAACCTCTTCTTGTAAATGAACCTCCAGATTTACTTTCTGTATATGTCTTCTTACTTATGAAGGATTTAACTATGAAAGTTCATTATTGAATTGTATTCTTCATTGCTTGAGTTATAAATTCAATCCGCAAGAAAAAAAAACTGCCTCAGCAAGCAGGACCTTCAATACTACTGTACCGATATTAATATGGCTGCTGACTGCAAATGACTTGCCAGATGAGCAAGTTACTAGGTGGTTCAAATATGACCGAGACTGATTTTTTTGTAAACAAGCAGCACTGCACAGCAGCTCTGAGACCTTGAGAGATTGTAGCCACAACCTCCACTCTCCCTCCTGTTAGGGTTAGAACCTGTTCAGTGCTGTCTGGGAGTTGCTAGAGAGATGAGCGTACAGAAGGTACCGCGGAGCGTGGAACAACGCACTGTCATCAAATTCCTCGTTGGAGAAAACGTCCCACCCGCTGAAATTCACCACAGACTCCAACAACAGTATGGGGAAGAGCGTCTCTCATGGACCCGTGTGTTTGAGTGGTGTAAGTGCTTCAGAGAGGGCAGAGAGCGCGTGGAGAATGAACCGCATGATCGTCGGCCGCGAACATCCATCACCAAGCCAAACATTGATCGTGCAGATGCACTTATTCGTGGGAATAGGCGCATCACTATCAAGGAACTTGGAGCTATGCTGTCCATCAGTGTTGGTAGCGTAGAAGACATCGTGTAATATCACCTACACTATCGCATGGTGAATGCTCGGTGGGTACCACGCCCTTTGACGGATGTGAACAAAATGGTGTTCATGCAAATTGCCAGTCGTCTCCTACAGCAGTTTGAAGACGAGGGTGATGCTTTTTGAAGTCTATAGTGACCACCAATGAAACGTGGGTGCACTACTTCATTCCTGAGTCCCAGCAATCATCATGCGAATGGCGGCATACCAGTTCTCCCAAACCCAAGAGGGCGTGGAGGAGCCGTTCAGTAGGAAAAGTGATGGCAACGTTCTTCTGGGACTGTCGGGGGGTTATCCATGTAGACTTTCTAACAGATGCCAGAACAGTCAATGCAGCTTATTACTCAGACCTCCTGGCAACAGACGTGAAAGAAAAGATCCGATCCAAGCGGAAGAGAGGTGGAAAGTGGGTAGCCTTCCTTCAAGACAATGCATGGCCCCATACGGCCAAAACAATGGAAACCCTCCGGAAATTGAAATGGAACCTTCTGACACATCCGCTGTACAGTCCCGATTTGGCACCAAGTGATTTCTACCTGTTTGGAAGGCTCAAATCAGACTTGCAAGGCATGCGGTTTGTGGACGACGACGCCATCATCCAGAATGTTCGGGAGTGGATACGCCACCAACCACAAGACTTTTTTGAAAAGGGCATCAGGATGCTTCCAAAACGTTGGAAAAAATGTGCTGACTGCGGAGGGGAGTACGTTGAAGACTGACATGTGCAAGTAAGTGTTTGGCAATTTTGGTTTAAAAAAAAAACAGTCCTGGTCATATTTGAACCACCTTGTACATACAGACAAAGTACCCATTCTATTCACGGTGTTGCTATATTTCCTTCTAATTTTAACTCTCTGTACTTTGTTTACAAACTAGTTTTCAATATCTGAAATTTATATTTACCCTCAAATTAAGGTACAATATTTTACTACGTATACAGAAACTGTGAAAAATCCTTTTATGTATCATAATTTTAAAGCATACCTGTACATTTCCTTCTTATAATTTCGTCTGACTTCTTTCAGGTTGTATGAATTAAGTTTTTCACACTTCGACTGACCACCAACTCGTATAATCCTTGTGGTGTACTGAAGAATTCCTTCAAGGAACTGGTCCAAAGCATGGTTAGTATAGCACACAACCAAAATAGGATGTCTCTGTGCACGCCAAACTTCGAGGTTCTCCAGCAGGGTGCCAGCAACTTTCAATCCCAGGTAAGTCTTACCAGTCCCAGGTGGGCCTACAATAGGTCATGTCATGACTGTTAAAGCTAAAAGAACTGGGAACTGATTAAAAGCACAACAAAATTCATATTGGCTTCACAGAGGTTCACAATCCAGACTACATAACATTAAATAAAAATATATGCTTATCATGAATATCAAAGCAATTTTTATATTTTGGGGTTAAAATAGTACTGCGCTTATCATGAATGTCAAAGAAATGCATAAATGTTGGGGTTCAAATAGTACTATCTCCTGAGATGTTATGCCATGTGGTCTGGTAGAAGTTTGTTGATGTTTTAGAGGAATATTAGTAACTTTTACCAGACTACACAGCATCATAGGCAAAACTATCCCTGTAGCGGGCCGTGGAGGCCCATAGTGTTGAGATGTCAAGGCTGACAGATGATGGTGAAGTTGTCAGCCTTAGGCACTGGCCACCCTTTACCCCTTAGGAAGATTCCTGGTACTCATTTATGTTAGAGGCTGAGGTGACCCCAGGGCAATATTGTGGCTGGAAGAATTAATTAAGGTGAAAAATCCAATGACCTCATCTGGGATCGAAACCACAACCTTCCAGCTCGTAGCATAATGCCTCAACCAACTACACCACCGCACGCAGCGCAGTTGGTATGACGCCTGGCTATGGAATGGAAGACTGAGGGGTCAGAGTTCAAGTCCCAGTAGAGTCAAGAAGTTTTGTCTCTCCAAGTCATCCAGACCAGCTCTGGGGCCCACCCAGCTTCCAATCCAATGAGTATCGGGGGCTCTTTTCCCAGGTGTAAAGCTGCTGGGGTGCGAAGCTGACCAGTCACCTCCAGCTGGTGCCAAGTTCAAGAAAACATGGACCTATATATCCACTCCCCCATATGTCTTCATGGTGTAGTGCTTAACTCGTTAAGCACAGGAACAAATTTACTCTTATTTTACTTTTACACAGCATTACATTCCAGAAGATAGTACCCTTCATAGTCACCACCATGAGAACATCAAATTGAACCCAATAAATATGTTAGTTTTAAGAGATTCCCACAGCAGTGATGATAATGAGTACTCTCAGATGAGAAACCATGTAGTCTTGTAGGAATTCACTGACTTTCTTCCAAAACGCTCGTAAACTTCTACCAGACCACAGGGTGTCACATCCTGGAAGAGAGTACTCTTTTGTCAGTTTGTTCAGTGTCACATAACTTCGAACAAGGCCCGCATTCCTAGTCAAATCCCGTGCATAGCTTGTGGTGGGAGGAGTTTCTTAACACTCGTTCTTCCTTACAAGCAACTGGCCGCCTGTCACTTCTCACACCCTCGAACCCACCACCTTGTCTGAAATTTTTCTTCTGCGCATTCAAGGTTACACAATTTTTAGGGAAGCTAAAATTAAATATTTTTAAATAAGTATTAAGAAATGAGTTGAAAACTGAATCAATATCTTGATCAACAAATATGCTATCCCAAGTTTCATAACTTAATTGAGTCAAGAACTCATTTCTAGAAGCTTTATTGAATTTCCTCACAAAATGCCTAGAGCTATTTTGGTTATGTAAAACAATGTTATTCAGGTTATTCTAGGTTCGTAACCCCTCTTAAAGTCATTTATTCCTCTATACAAGTCTCTAATGTTCTTGTTCTTACTGTTCATTGCAAGCTCATCAATTTTGTCTTTCAGATATTCCCTCTTTTTATTCCTGAAATGCCTGCTGGTTTCGCATATTATTTTGTTCATATTATCCCTATGTATTTCGCTTGGATCTTGTAACCATTGCAATTTGGTTTGTTTTCTTTGGTCTAGTAATTCTGAGCATTCATCATTAAACCATGGCTTATGCTTCTTCAGTTCATAATAACCTAGACTCTCCTTGGCAGAAATTTTGATATTCTCTCTAACAGTTTCCCAAGCTTTATTAATATCCACCTCAGCGTCCAAGCTTTCCAAAGCTGCGAACCTATTTGAGATTTCAACACGATACTGCTCTTTACCCTCTACCTTATTTAATTTCTTGAGATTGAACCTCTCCACATGAACTCTGCACATACTTTGTTTCCTCACTGCCAGTCTTTGCCACCACCAGGTAGTGGTCAGTATCACAATCTGCTGCCCTGAATGATCGGACATCAAGTATACCTGAATTCCGTCTCCTATCGGTCGATATTGTGTATCTTCCCATCAGGAGATGTCCAAGTAAATTTATGGATGTTACAATGTGGGAACATTGTACTTTTGACAGTAAGATTTTTGATGTGCAAAGTTTACTACTCTAACTCCATTATCATTACTAATTTCATGCAAACTCTCATTCCCAATCATTAAATATTTAAAAGTTTATTCACTGAAAGGGTTAATCTGGTTAAAAATTATGCCAAATGATTAATTCTACATGAAGAGTGCTGAAATGTTCATCTTAGTTTCTTACCTTGAATAACAACAAATTCCTTGGTCAAGGCAAATCTGAAAGCTTGGTACTGAGAGTCATCTAGACCAAGTTCTTCCGCAGAGGGCCACAAATCAAGTGACAGTACTGGAAAAATGAATCCAGGTTCTATCGTATACTGAACTGGAGGATCAGCCATCAGATAGGCTGGAGGCTGACCACCTCTTTGTGCTTCAACAATATAGCGCCTCATTGGAAACTCATGTTCTGTCATATCCTTCAGAGCTTTAAGAACCTGGAAATACATGATATGGTGTGATTCAAATGGGACACCTGGTGATGGTTAGCTATTATGCAACAGCAAAGACTGTGTAACATTGTGAGTTAAACCAGTCAGTGTCAGGCAATCTTTGACATCTATATTATACACTTCCTCTTGTAGCTTTAACAACTTCATACAATTTTGAGAAAGAGAGTACCTAAACCAGTTGTTTCACTCTACTGAAAATCTACTGGATTTTGAAAAACAGGAGATCAAAGATCCAAGGGTAAGATTTTAAACCAGAAAATTAGATTTAATTTTTTGGGTGTCTGGTTATCTCAAGCAGGAGACAATGAACAATGGACTTGTGTACAGTACCGCCAAAAAGCATTAACTCTTTCCAAACATTTAATATTGAACTCTGGAGAGTAACATTTTCTTGGGAAAACTGCTATTCATCTGTTTCGAAAGTCCTGGTGCAGTAATCATTCTTAGAATTTTAATAATAATATATCAACTGCATACATTACGCATCCTTTATTGACATCTGAGAATAATTAAGAATGGTGTGTCCATCACAATAGATCATAACCTATTTGAAGATCCAAGTGGACTCCAGCCAAGATTCAAACCATCTGCTGAGATAATTTCTGCGATAGCAAGCTAACTTTCCTACTTCTTCAACTCCTGAGCCTAGGCAACATATGATGTCTGGCAAAGTCTGCAGACTGATGGCAAGCTACTTTCTTATTTCTTGTGCTTCATGGACCATATACTTTATGAGAGTTCATTATCTAATTAGTGAACAACATACAGACCAACTTTCCTGACTGTAAGTATGTGAGTTTTTCTGTACCTTGCACTCCGATGGACTATACATGGGCAACAAACTGTAATACATTATGCAACAGAATGCCAAAATATATGTGGACTAGACAACAAGAGTTCTAATCCAAGTTTCGAGATGCAGTTGTGTTGGCAGATTATATGGCAAAAAAAAATTTAGTCACCATAAAAATAAACCTATGTCTTAATATTAATTATACTGTAAGAAGATTCAAGCTATTTCCATTCTTTGATAGACACTGTTTAGTTTTACCTACATGTCTGTTGTCAAAACTTGCAGAACAAAGAATTAATATTCAATTCTGTATCAATCTTACATAAACCTGTTGAGAATCTGAAAGATTTTGAGTACCTACGACAATGAGGTTACGTCAACAAGACACGTTTCTATATGATTTATGAGGTCAAAAGATTGTAGAAATGATATGAGATATGAATAAATGAAACATTGGAATTGAGATTCCCACAGCAGTGACTATGAAGAGTACCATCATCTTACGTGGTGCCATATACCCGAAGATAGTACCTCATTCTGTAACACTTTGAAAATACCAAGACTGGAACACATGTTTGGAACTGACAGGAGTATAAGATGATTTATATAATTTTTAACTGATGGTAAGTAATTTGGGGGGAAGGAAACTGAGTCTATGGGATTCAAACAAATGAAAGCTCAACAGGCATGCCATCATTCCAGATGAACTTTGATACCAACACCCAGAGCTCATGCATAAAGGGCTTTCAATGGAAATGTCCTAATGATTATTGTCTTCCAGGATATAGCCTTGTGCATTCTAGTAGATGTTTATCAAAATTTTGGATGAAACTGTTGCCTCAATCTTCAGGGTATAAGAGTAAGAAGCTTGGAAAAAATGGTCAATATGGAGAAAGGAGGACAAGAAATGGGGCCAAGAGTGATCCAATGTGAACAGTGTCATATGGAATCCTGTAGAAAATGCTATAAAAAAAACCTGAAGGAACAGTGTAAACTGAATTCAAACCAGTGGCACTGAAAAGGAGCACACTTTTAGAAATATGGCTAAAAAGTAAAATGTAAATATACAAGCCTGGTCTTTTTCAGAGCCATAGTTCCCATTCACATTACAACTGCTTCCACTGGTTCACTATTAGCATCTTCCTACATACAAGTGTGGGTCTTTTCACAGCCACAGAATTTCATTTTACACTGCTCCTACTGATTCACTTAGACATTTAGGTGGAACAGATGTACAAAGCATAAAGCACAGGTCGGAGAAAAAAAACAAAAGTGCACAACAAAAGTAACTATGGCATAATAATCTAGTTAGTTAGTTATTGGAGAGGGTGGGTTTCCCCATGCACTTAGACCAGTATTGGTCCACTGTGCGTCCCTCTATGATATTCTACCAGTCTCCATACCCTACTGATAATGGTGCATACCATCAGTCCCGCCGAGCAAGCGAGTTCGGCCTCCACTTGCTTAGCGATGTCTATAATGCTTCTCCCATCTATCAGAGGCCTTAGAGACTATTGTTGGGCGGGAAACATCCTGGAATTTGGCTCAGTGATCTCCTTTGGAGATATGAGGTTCTTTTACGTGCCGTAAAGTTACGACATGGGACACACGGCTTAAAGTCCCTCCCGGAGGACTTGTTCCCTGAATTTTTCCGCCCTTAAAAATTTGATGACCTCCGCCGGGTATTTGAACCCGCGTCCTACGAATGAGGTGGGAACGTTACCTTTAGACTACGGAGGCCACTACATAATAATCTAAAACATAACTTCAAATATTTTATAAGCATTTTACATTATTTGTGAAATGCAAAATACAACAGTGTATCAGCAGAGAAGCAATTTTCATCTACAATCTTATTCACCTGATGATCACCAGTTAGGCTGAAACATGCGGTGTTTGACAAATGAGACAAAGAGCCTTCAAAGAGCTAATTTTTATATATGGATGAAGCTGCAATTAGATGGCAAAGAAAGAGTGCTGAAATTGCAATACACTGTGCAATAGGTATGTTGCAATATAATATTATGTACATTAATGAAACAACAATCATCTACCTTTATCAAAACTTATTTTTGTAAGAATTTCTGATATCTGACATATGCACTTCATCAGAAATAGCAAAACTTACCGCTGAATCACAGCTTTCTACTTCATAAAGAAAATGTGCCAGCTCAGTACCTTGTCATGGTCCTTTCTTTTTATAAACTTCTACTGTCAATTCACAAAAACTAAAAGAACAACAGTTTTAGTCAACAACATTTAAAAACTACTCACCTGAAAATATGGCTCAAAATATACCTCAGACTCTGCCATTGTATACTCTGTTCTGAATAAATCTTCACGGACCTGTGATCCAACACAAAGCTCAACTACAAGCTGACCTTGTTGCAACTCCTTTTCCGCTCTCTCAACAACAGTTGCAAAGATCATGTTTCTGTAAATCATGTCCAAAATTTGTTACAGTAATGATACAATTCTGAAGCTAAAAAGCAATCACAATTCATTTCCAGAGTCATATAGAAGCACACCAAGCATAGAGCAAAAGAGTAGGAACTGACATTTTGTGTTTGGGTCCCTAGTGTGCATAGTTACTTTCCTGAAGATATTATCTATGCACACTGATATATTGGGTTTTTGGACTTTATCCATCGTCCTGGTTTTTAAGATAACTAATAAAAACACGACGTTTCGGAAACTGGATCTGTTTCCGTCCTCAGGTGAAGGAAAACACCTATTCTGTTGGGTCCGTTGGAAAGAGCTAGCCTCAATCACTGGACAAACGTCCAGTGTTTTTATTAGTTATCTTAAAAACCAGGACGATGGATAAAGTCCAAAATCCCAACATATCAGTGTGTTATACACCATCGTCAGAATCCTATAGTAACTAATTATCTATGCAGTTTGGGAGATAGTTCCCAAAACGAAAGTACTAAAATGTAATCAACATCATTAGTCTTCTTTTCAAGAAAATCATATTTTGTATTTTGTGGCCTATTTGAAGAGCCCTTATTTCTGAGCTGGAACGTTCAGATTCACCAGGCATAGAATTAGGATGGAAAAATTCTTGGAAATCAAATGTGAAGAAAATCCACCCACCCATTCAGCCACTAGCAAGGCACACATCCATATATGTGAATACATACACTCTGATCAGTTACTACATAACAAGAATACTAACAAATTAAAACAAAATTAAAACCAAAAATTGTAATTCCTTGCTCAGCATTAATATGCAAATGTGTTGCATGTAACGTTGTTGTTATTAAGCAGGGGCCTATTAAGAATATTGTCATGCGTCACAGTGATTAAAGACAGGATTCAGATTGGTAATTAGATTCATTAACCACCTCCAGGTCATAATTACAATTAATTATTGCACCACTGCTTACAATCACTACATACAAACCTCTTTAGTCTATCTGCACTAGTATTCATGGGTTTATAACACAGGAACTATAATAATCTCACTGAATTACACACTCCAAATATTGCATATTAATAGTCTTCTAATCACTCGTTATGTCTTCACAGGTCGACTTCTAATTCTTCTTCAACTATGAACTTCCTGTGCCTATCTCCTGCTGAGAACTGACTTGCTTGTTCCCGTGCTTCTGCTGCTATTATTACTGTAACCTGCAACCTGTAACTGCCATGAATGAAGAGGGGGGGGGGAACTTTCTAGCATTACATACCCAAGAATAATTGAATAGAAATGTAAATTATAACACGCACAGTTAAATGTCTCTAACTCGGAATTCCCGATAACTAGGTCAACTGTTTTTTGCTGCGCATTATGATCCTGATGATCACACTGCCACTACTTAACTGTGTGTTTATAACTTATGTCAAAACTTAGATTTTTTACATTTTACGACAAGTAAATTTATTTCACGACATGCACTCGAAGCTTCAAAATAAAGCCGTATTGCCTAAAAACACAAGCGAAATATATTTTATAACTTCCTGGATATATTTTCAGTTAACACTTCTATAATTTGGACTAGGGTTCAGTTCTAATTAGTCTGAACTAGTGCAATGTGCGCGCGCACATATGTGTATGCATGTAGCTTCTCTCTCAAGCAAGCGCATGACATTGTCTAGGTCAGTCTAGGCTGGCTCTTGTGCCCAAAGAGCCTCCTATCCAAAGGATACCTGGGGCTCTCTTCAACGGCAAAGCTGCTGAGGCGTGATGTTGACGGCTCACATCCACCAAGTGCTGAGGCCAGCAATGGTGACGCTATTCCTCCACTCCATATCTTCATGGTGTGGTGCATAATTAAGCACAGGATGAACTTCACCTTTTTAGCTATACATAACCTCATCATCTCTTTCTTATTTCAGGCATGATGATGACACTGTTAAGTTCTTTATGTAGGCTGATATTATCTATGGAGCCAACTTTGGACAGCAGCCATCAAGTGTAGGACTTACCTATGTGATATTCCATAATAGTGAACACCAAGGCTTTGTGTTATATGTCAGAACTGTTTAATGTTGTTGCAGGTGTGATTGTGTTTTTATTACATGTGATGAGGATGGCATTAAGGTTATCTAGCATAACAAATTACTGCAGTATCTTCTATGATGTTGGATTTTAGGTTCTTATAGCAGTGACTATGAAGAATACATTCTTCTGGGTTGTACTGTAGTGTAATTCATATACAAAGAAATTGCATGGCATTACAACCCACATCATAATGGTCTTTCTAGGATATGTTTCATTAGCTGTTGTTCTGAGTTACTGTATGCAGATTTAGAAAATGACTTAAAAATCTTCTTGGGGCAGACAAAATCTTAAATGCATACAGCTAAGACATTAAAAAGTACTCAAGTCTGTTCTTTTTAACACTAAAATTGCTGACGATAAGGTATACTGGCAGATAATGATTAAATTTACAAAATCATTTCATGCAAGTGACATGTTCTGAGATGCAGAAAATTTTCATTTCATATGGAGTAAGGAAGATTCCTCACAGCAATGGGACGTATCCATTACTGTTTGTACCTATTTCTAAAAAAAGAGTGACAAAACTTTCTGCAACAATTCCTTCGCCAAGTACATTACACAAGTGAATCCAACATTCTCATCTCAGGACAAACTGATGAAATTACTGAAGATTATCAGTCGAGATTCCACCATAAGAGTTAAAGACTACTGATCAAATATTGTGCATCAGATAGTGCAGAGAATACGGGTGTACAATGTGAGTCATCAGTTAATCTTCGATTTCAAAACTAAGTGACTCAGCTGCAAAGTAGAATATAGCATTCTTGAATTTGTTACATTCACAAAATTAGTGATGACTGACGTGTTTAAATTAATTCTAACGCAATGTTCTCATAGGTAACACTGTCTAACATACCTCACATTTAGAATGGTCTGAATAGATAAACTAATTTACCATCTTTTACTGATTATGTGGGAGCTATGTTCCTGTTTCAGCACCACAATAAAGGGCAAAAACCATAATATATTGATGGTAAAAGAAAAATAAAGTTATCCCTGTAACAGGACGTCAAGGCCCATAGGATTGTGAGACGTTGAGGGACTCACATTATCTAGACAATTGGCTCGAAGATGGCGTTAAGGTTGTCAGCCTCATGCACCAGCCTCGCTTTACTCCCAAGGAAAATTATTTAATTAATTCCTGGTACTCATTTCTGCTAGAGGCTGAGTCGATCCCAGGCCCATAGTTTGGATGGAAGGAGTAGGTCAATTGAAAAAATCCAATCATCGGGACTTGAACCCGCGACCTTCCAGCTTATAGCATAGTGCCTCAACCAACTAAGCTACCGCGTGCCCCCATATAATGATGGTTAATAAATTATTACAAAGATGTGGCAAAATTAAAACACTTGGGAATGACAGAAATAAATCAAAATTTCATTTGTGGAGTGGTTATGAGGAGATTAAATTGAGTGCAAATTATGAAGGGTTGCATAATGGAATTCTGTCCAGCTTTCTGTTACTGCCTCTTTTTGTCTGAATATTCTTCCATTTCCTGTTCTCAGACATCCCCAGTGTATGTTCTTGGCTTAAGGTGGGGAAACCTAAAAAGCAAAGTGTATTCAAACAATCCCTACAAGTAGCTTGAACGTAAGCATAACTTTGTAAAACAACTGCATCTAACCTTATCCTTGAGCTTGAACTAGTGTCAAATAATCTTTCTAAGGGTCTTGAAATTTGGTAAGAGCAGAAGAGACATTCTGACCACCTACTATGATGCTGGGTTCTTCTAAAAATGTTTACTTTACAAATGCATGTGCATGTTTATAATGCGTGGCATATTCTAGACTCTGGGCAGTGATGCCTAAGAGGATGACGGTAAGGTCAGGAGAGTTGGCCTGTCAAGTAAGTCTCTCTGTAGATGTCTATAGTTAAGATTATACGATATAAATGATAGAGATAAGCACTATCAACATGAAAAAGTATAAATTATATGAATTACCTGAAGTTGTCCTGAGTGAAACATAGCAAAGAGCCATACATGAATCTCTTGGAGTGTCTCCACTGCACGTTCTTCAAACGTCTTTCTGGATCGAAATTCACTACAATTCCAAGTCTGTCCGTCACCACTCTTGGATACAAGAACATTACCTTGTGATACAGCCTAACATTTGTAATTTGCTTTCCTTTTCGCAACTTCTGTGATTCAAGTTTTTGAACATATTCTACAATGCTTTCTCTCATGGGGCACAAGAAGTCTTCATGGAGTAGGCGGAACTGTACATCAAGATAATGATCAACACTTGTGTAGGCTCCAAGAACCAAATTTGGTCTCACAAATGCTTTTTTTCCAGAAAAAATATCTTCTGATGTTGGGATCAAATTAATATCATGAAAATCATTTGGAGGTGCCTGCAGTGACAAAAGTTCTGATCTGCTGCTTACTTTCAACTTTCTTTCATCAGTTTTTTCTACAGTTTCTTTCAGTTGTAACTGAAGAATATGATGCAATTCCTTCACATCATCTCTGACAGACATTTTCTTATACAATTCAAATCCTCTTATAGCTGTATCTACAAAAAGGAAAACTTTCCTGAACCTTTCTGATGCTGTATTTGGTAACAGGTTCATAACTTCCTTACTAAATGTTAGAAGATTTAAGAGAAAATCATCAACATTGAATGCATTTTTGTCATCATGAAGTGGAAGATCGCTCATGAAATCAGCAAGCTGATCAAGGAACTCTGGATGACATGCCTGGGCAAGAACAGAAGATTTATTTTCTCTGAAATCTGAATCACAAACTTTTGCCAGCAACTTCACAATTAAAACCAAAAGGTCTGGCCTCCTCTTCAATCTGTCTCTGTCTTTCAATATATTCTGAAAATCATAATGACTGTTGGCCAGTTTGGCAACAATTTCTAGACCACTCAGTTCAGACAAATCAACCATCCATAACATATTTTGTGGAATATTTCCAATTTCCTTTCTCACATTCTTTTTCTGTGAGGAACTAGATTTTATGTCTTGTGCTCCTCTGTTCAAGCTTTGATATCTCGAATTCCTACACATACCTCTGTTAGGGCTTCGTTCTCTGATGCTACCACCTTCACACACACTTCCTTGTCTGCGCCAGGCTCCAGCTCCTCCAGTGGTTGCTTTTGCATGTTTCTTATTATGTGACAACTTTGCATCCAAAGGAAACGTTTTTGGTCTTACACCCTGATACTTCCCTAATTTACCTGGACTTTTCATGGGAAATGCCTTATTAGCTGAAGCATGTGAGAAAGTCTTTACTGGACAGTTTATGTTCTTCTTATTTGTATGCTGTTTATAATTACTTTCATAGTTACTACGGGCTTGCCTTGATGAGCCACCAAGAGAACGCAGCTGAAGTGGCAAAAATAAATCCGACTGAGATGGGTTCTCTGGACAGTCACTGGAACTGTTCCTACATATTAATTTCTGGGACAGTTTAGCCATGGTTCCTTGATATTTCGAGCTGCTGACACTATCTGCAGTTGAAATATTTGGAATTCTACCATGATGCATTCCATCCTTAACACCATTAAAATCTGAGGATGCCATATTTGTCTGATTATTTAAAAGTTTTCATCAAAACCAAAACACCTGAAACATAAAAACCAACATTTTCTACTATGAATGCATATACAATTGGTTCAATAAAGAACTAGACTCTTAACTTTGTGACTACAATGCCAGCAAAACTGACAACTTAACTTTCAACTAATGCTGTTTAACCTCTAATGCCAGACTTTTGCAATGGTGATACCTGGAGCTTATTTTAATGCCTGCTAGTGGTGCACATTTAAATGACTGTTGCTGCTCTGCGTACATATGCCAGTTCCTATTAGGGGGCATGCATTTGAAAATGCATATCTAATACAATTTTATGATAAATGAATTGAATTAACTTTGCCTTTATCAGCAAAGAACACAGCGTTGCATATTATAACATAAGATTTGAAAATGTTTAGACAAAAATGTTATTACTCTATTTTTAATTTTTTTCTTCAAACTTTGATGCATACTGTAAGAGTGGCATTACTGCTTCTTCACACAGTAGTTCTGCGTTATGAAGTACTTTCTAATTGTAACACCTGACTATATTTGCATTCTCTGGTGCCATAAGAGAGTTGGAAGCAACAAAATCATTTCGTTCTCCGCTGGCAAGTTTCACATCTTTGTTACACTGTTCAGCTATTTGAGTCTTCTGACTAAAGGAGAGACAAGTGAAAGCATGGCATATCAAAGAAGGCTAGAGGGAATATTCCTTGCTTCCTACTTCTGGGCCAAGCCCCTACCACTGCAGCTGCAACAGAATATTGCTCTTCCTATAGTCACAAACAAATGCTTGCATTGTAGCTGAGATACAGAGTGCATTAAGTTTTCTGTGAGTTCATAGTGATTTCAAACACTGTAGATTCATTTCATCATACAATGGCAATGAGACGTTGTTTGGAAGATAACGAAACTGAAATCCAAGGTATGTGATGTAGGACTGTGCTTTCTTGGGTGTTTCAATAAGTACCACACGAAGGCGACATTCAGTTACATAATGCAGGAGGTGAAGACTCAATATACATCAAGCACATAACAATAATAAAAGTATGTACACTGGATTTTACAACATTTAAGAAATAATTATTTAGGATTGTGCATACATTTATACGAGGAGCGTTCCATAAATAATGCCTCTTATTTTTTTAATGAAAACTACAACAGATAAAGAAAGCATAACAACACAGTTAAACAGAGCAAGATTTCAGGTACTTACAATTATTTTTCCACATAATCACCACCATTCATTATGCACTTTTGCCAGCGATGAATAAGAGCCTGTATGCCGCGGTTGTAAAAGTCTGCGCCAGCAGAGGCTAGCCACTTTCTTACAGCTGTAATGACAGCATCGTTGTCTGGAAAATGTTGCCCACGTAGTCCGTCTTTCATAGGCCCAAAGAGATGGAAGCCTGAAGGTGCTAAATCGGGGCTATAAGGTGGATGTGGTAGGACAGTCCAGCCAAACTTTGCAATGTGCGCGGTGGTCGCCAAACTGGTATGGGGTCTAGCGTTATCGTGTTGCAAGCGAAAGGTTGTCTGCTTCTCTCACCTGACTCGGGAAATGCGGGCTTTTAGCTCAGTCCGCGTCGTCTTGTAGCATCCAGAATTGACAGTCTCACCAGGCTCCAGGAAATCCAACAAAATCACACCCCGCCTATCCCAAAAGACCTTGCACATCGCTTTCCCTGCCGATGGCTATGTCTTGAACCTTTTTTCTTGGGGAATCCGGATGTCGCCACTCCATGGGCTGTCTTTTGGATTCCGGCCCATAGTGGTGACACCACGTCTCATCTCCGGTGACAATGCTCTCCAGAAACTTGTCACCTTCAGCCTCAAACTGGTGCAACAGGCCCTGACAGACTTTCATTCGATGACTTTTGTGGCCTTGTTCAAACATCTGCGGACCCACCAGGAACAGACTTTTCGATAATCCAGCTTTCCCAACATCGTTTTCAATGCAATACAGCCGATATTAAGCCGTGCACTGAAGCGTAGGTCCCCTTCAGAGGATCCTTCAGGGTGCGTATGGGTTCTCGTAATCACAGGACAGGGTGAGCAGGGGAGGACAAAGAAATCAGCAAGGTGGAAATACCCAAACAGAAATAACCAACTCAAATATTAACAAAGAATAGATATAATATATTAATAAAGAAAGAATACAAACATGGTGTAAATACCTGTATCAGAATGATTGCAGAGTTCGCTGTTCTAAGATTGAATACCACGTAGAGAAATCAATTTGGACGGTCGAGGATGACCTCGACCGGAGGTCCAAAAAGAGAACAACCTACCCCTTCAATGGTTGGGAAGCCAAGAGCCCTTAGCTCCACTCGTTAGGCCGCTAATTCGGCTCAGGAGGGGAAGGAGAGAGGGGGACAGTAGAGACAGTAGAGGGGAGAAGTGCGCACACAGACCACGGACATGAGCCG